AAAAGCTGCTTGTTGGAACGCTTTCCGCCGGCCACCCCTGATTTGAAAAATGGAATGTGCCTGGCACTTTTGGGATCAGAGTGCGCGGGAAAAACAGCGCCACAAACCTGAGTATTGTCGGCAACCGGTCACCTGTGCTAATTCATTGAGACTGTACATACATAAACATTCAATGAACCGAGGGGCCCTTCGTTGCCTACTATAAAGATGGACCAATTGATTCATCTATTATGGAAAGGGAAGGCCAAGGTCTCTCTTGGGAAGATTGAAGGATGGGGAGGGGTGATAGGCAAACGCTAGATCACGCACGCCAAGCTGCTACTTATTCCGAATTGGGATAATTTGACAAACCGATGAGGGTTCTCGAGGATTTACTTTCGTGCCGCTTCCAAATCGAGATGTAAAAATATGGCGTTGTTTTTTCGGTAATTATGTAGGGCAGGAAAGTGTAGAATGAGGGACTCCATATTAGCTATGCATGATGAGTGTAAAAAGGTACATATGCAGTGTTCCGGTAAGCAACAGTCCGCCATTTATTGTGGCTGCGTTTGCAAATAGTTTGCTAAAGAATATTTCCTGGGATCGGCTAAGGGCGATGCTCTCATAGATACGAGGAGGGGTGACATCTTTGAGTCACTCGCGGTTATTATACTTCAGCAAGCGCCCAAGGCGTGTCATTTCAACGTGAGAGCTCGGTGACAATTTGCGTAAGGGTGGTGAGATTGGGATATCCATGTAAGAGTGGTCGGAGCATTTGAAGTGGCGAGGCTGCGTCCCACTTCGTTATTTCCCCTTTGGATCCCCGCGTGTCTAGGCTACTCTAGTGTCAATGTCATCTTCCGTTGCGCAGGAGAGGATACTAAAGCTGCGACCTTTTCTATGTAGATGTTTGCTTAGGTGCACCACTAGATAGATCCATTCTGCCTAGTTCAAAGTTCGACGAAATCTCGTCAGGCGAGGGGAGTCCATTGAAGCAGGCACTTGCCTTGTTCAAATAAAAACAAACATGCATAACCGTTTCGGGGCCGCTTGTTCACAATGAAGAGCACGCAGAAGGGCGTGACTGTGATGGGTGGCGCATCTCGAGGAGATTACCCGGCGTCTGGTTAATCGCCTCTTTAGTCGTATGAATGTGCAGTGATTCTAAAAGTAGCCGTGTCGATAGGGAAGACAGGCTCAAGTTTGGGCAGCGCCGTTCGCCGCCTAGCGGAGAGAGGGCAAAGCTCCGGTCACTCGGACGGGCCGCGCTTGCTTGGTTGCCCATTGCGCGCACGGAAAACGTGTTCCTTAGGGGCTTTTATTTCACACGCTATGGGCGCCGCTCAATTGTGATCCCGGAAACTAGGCACACACTCCTGCTGCATCGTGAGCTGCTACAAAAATTTAAAATTGTCTCGGAGTTGAAAACTACCGAAAAGTTCTACTGTTTTCAATGCAAGCAGTGCGAGGAGCAAATGCATCAAATGTAGATTATGGCAGTTCGTCGATACTTCCGCGGTCTTGTCTCTTTTAGGAATCTTTTGTAGTGCATAGTTCTACCAACTATTTAAAGGGGAGAAACGTGATGGTCGGACTCATATGAAAAGGAAGTGCGTTTGTAAATTGAAACTACAATAAATAGACAACTTCTGTACATTCTGAGACCGGGCACCGGCTTTCCGAGGCAACCATTTGTAATGCGAAAGTGGCTGAGCTTGCTAGCGTAATACACCACTGTTAAATACTGTACCATGAGCCCTGCAAGTGTTTTATTCAGCTAATGGCTGTAGACTTCTCGTCACCGTTCAGTGTCAACAGATTTATGCAGTGTGTTCTTTAACGTGCACCCGAATCTCAGAACACGGACCTACAACATTTCCGCCTCAATTGAAAATGCAGCCGCCGCAGCCGGGTTTCGATCTCGCGACCTGCGGGTCAGCAGCCGAGTACCTTAGCCAATAGACCACCGCGGTGCGGCGACGTGTACGAGCTTCTACATCAGCTTGTTATTTGGTACATGTGTGATTTTAACGACGTATGTGCCAAACACTCTTGCAAGAGCCCCACTGACGGCTTGCACGTAGGAAACAACAGCACGTTTTGGTCTGTCGTCTTCACGAAATTAAGCTCTTCGGGGTAAGCAACTGAAGACAGCAAATGTTGAGTCCCCCTGCAGGAGCTGTGAACGTTAGCCGTTGTTACTAAGATCCGTCCTTAGGTTACAGCCAGCTCTGACATTCTAATTCATTGGTATCGCACTCATTGATTCGTCTTGCGCCGTAACTGTTTTTTTTTTTTTTGCGTTACAGGCGGCGACTTCAGCTTCGCTCATCGCAAGGTGAATGGGGTGTTGAGAATTTACATAACCTCAGTCCCACTTATTTATTTGTATTATTTGGTTTGAACCAGGTGAAACACAGAGTCTAAACTTTCGTGTCATCTAGCCAGATGCTCAGCCGCCGTCTGGGCGTTATGGTGTTCGACTGCTAAAACGCAGGTGGCGGGTTCGAATACCGGTTGTGGCGGCCACATTTAGATAGAGGCGAAATACTTGAGGCTCTTGTACACATGCATATTTGGGTGAAAGTTGTTAAGGTTGATCAATTATTGATATACTGGCTTCATGCCAATACAAACCTCTTGCATGCAGTACCATAAAAAACTTGGCACTGTATGGTGCATGTTTTGGCTGTAGCAGAATGTAATAAGTAAATAAAGTAACAAGTATACATTTTAACAGTTTGCATTCAGTGGGGGTTTTCAAAGGCCTTGTTCACGCCCATAGACAATTGCTTTGATAATTTCAAAATTTTAATGTTTAAACCAGAAGTGATAAGCTAACGTGATGTAATGTAATCTGAAAGTAAAATTGCTGCTGCAACATTCCTGAGAGTTGAACATAGATGTGATGTACATTTCATATTTCACCGGACGACGCGGCAACAAGATAAAAAAAATGGCAGCATATGCACGGAGTGAATGATGGAGAGTGGGGCGAAGCTTCCGTCCGTTCATTCGTTCATGCTTCCGTCCATCCATGCGTCCGTCTGTGTGACCGTCCGCCCGCCCATCCGCCCATCTCTGTGTGCGTCTGTTCGTGCGTCCGCACGTACATCTGTGCGTCCGCCCCTGCGTCCGTCCATGCGTCCATCCATCCGTGCAGCCATCCGTGCATCCGTTCATGCAACTGTCTGTGTGTCCGTTCGTCCATCTATTCAGCACTCGAAGTACCACCATCTCGCATCTTTTCATCATATATTTTCCTCATATATTTTCCTCATATATTATCCTCATATATTTTCCTCGTATATTTTCATCTTTTCCTCATATAGAACCACCGCCATCCAGTGGACATTCCAAGGACTAAACGAGAGGTGGCACAGACACACGTTTTTACGGCTTGCGCTTCGTGTCTACTTCCCACCTTCAACCACCTCGAGTTCATGGTATATACCAGTTCACTGTATTCATGGCACTGCGGCTCAACGCTCGCTAAACCTTTCTAAAACCAAGGAGTTTACGCCCAGCGAGTATAACGTAGCAACCCTTTCTTGTCAGATAGTGCTCAATATACATGCCAATGGCTGCTAATGGGGAATGAGAGACAGGAGAATTCAGCTTTCAGTTAACGTGCGCGCTGCGAATTTTTTATTGTTCAACAACGCACAGGATAAATCTCCCACCGGCACCATCTTGCCGGTCAAAACGTAAGACTGGTTACACATTACGACTACGACTACTACGAGGGAGGAACGGGTGCCGATTTAAGGAGCTTCACCCCTAAAAAAATGCCCCCCACCTCCCCGAAGGGAATCGTGAGAAAATGCGAATGCATCGCGCAACAACGGCGTCTCGCACGTGAGAACCCAGTGTTAGAAGAATGTTTTCTTTTTTTACACCGTGCAGCCAATAACGCCATTCACCGCACGTGGCGTTTTTATGTCGTGAAAAACGCGGTATTCGTTCCCAGCACTAGTAGCTATATCATGCACGGTTATAAAATACTATGAACAAAACAAACAGCGTTCGCGGCTCGGCGTTGGCGTTTCACAGCGGTGTCTCGAGCACACATTTCCGGATGTTCCTGAGAGGCGCCCAGCCAGTGAACGGTCGAGAGTCATGCAGGTGCGAGCGGACGGGAAAGCGGGGCGCAGGGAGGAGAGACAGTGAACGGTGAGAATAGGAGAGGCGAAGCACTGCACCTACATTCTCATACACTCCCTCGCACCACATGCTCCGGTTGCTAGGGGCGAGGATAAGTGCGTGCGCGCGCAGCTGTTGCTATGGGAGAGGGTGGTGGACGGATCCCGATGGACGGCTGACATAGCGCGACTAAGAAATACATTTCGCATTAAAAAAAAGGTATACCTGTCACTCTATGTTTACGAAAACCGAATGTTTGTCTGAACTAACTGCAGAAGGAAAACAAATGACATAGAAAAGGTTTAAGCTATTTTGCACAGGCGAATGGGATTTAAAGACTACAGTAAAGAGAGACTGAAAGAAAGGGTGAGCGCACGCACACAATGTCACACAAATCTGCTGGAAGCCGCTTCGTGTGGTATACGTACGGCAACGCTATCAGTCTACAGCCGGCTTTGCTTAGAAATTTCGCCAATAGTGTGTGACCTTAATTTACGGCGACTTTTCAGGATGACATTTTAGGATAGTCGCTACCGATTCAGTCTGTGGTTAAAGCGAGCGAGAGTGATTAGACGGGATTGTGTTTGTGCAGCGTAGCGAGGACAGTCGCGGAAGGCAAGGCCTCCTCTATGCAACCGCCGCCACAAAGAGCGTTGCCGGCCCTTCCTATGCGAAGCAGAAATGTCGATTTGTGAGTACACGACCAAGATGCTGATGCAAACACATGCAATATGACTGGATCGGCAATTTCAGGACCGTGAAAATAATCGACTTGAAAAGGCGTGCTGTGATTAGGAGGATATACACACAACTTGTTTGTCACTATATATGCTACTCGGCAGCGCACCGGCAGCATGAAACACGTCGGACGGCGGATATACGGAACACGCAGTTTATTTAACAATATAACAACAGAGTCGAGAGAGGAAGCTTTACAGAGAAACATGTGCCACCCTTCCGGGTATAGGGATGTGCACGCCTAAAGGAAATGGTCGATCACGTGGATAACCCCATTGGAGGCGACGTTATCCGGGTTGTTGACGTTGACCCCGTTTACTGTGATACACTCTGAAATTGGAGAATAAGTGGCATTGATCATCGAGTTAAGAGGTGATGACGGCAAGCGCTTTTTATACCCGAGTTGAGATAGTGAATTACCCATACTGAATACGTTAGGGAACTACTTTTGTTTGTTCAATCAAACCGTGTGCCTCATAATTGCAATGCATAAGTTTCAATGTGTATCTTTAGCTTTGTTATCTACTCTGCTACACATGAGAACGAGACAAGTTTAGTAGAAATTACAACTAATTACATGCATGGTGTGTTGTTTTTCGGCTATCAAAAATAGGGGCAAGGACCTTTGTCTAGCTGTCAGCTCTTTGATCTTCTCCTCGCGTTTGTTATCTTGATGTAATGGATGCCAAATAAAACTGCTTGATTGATCGATTATTTTATCACTTGAATTCAGAAGCGTTTAAAGTAAAGCTTTTGAAGACATGCGTACACTGAATCTTGAAGTCTACATTTAACGCACTAACCTAACAGCATTGTTAATGAACACTCCATGGTAGATACGAGGGTACAATTGCTGATATATGAAAAATCTTCCTTTCTATCTTTAAGATGAGCCTTTTTATTTCAATCATACGGCTTTAAAAGGGTTGGTGCATTTAAGTTAACGCTGTCACTCGATAAAAGAACAGAGTAGCGAAAGGCAAGAAAGAAATGAAAACATCGCAAGATGATGAAGTGCGATAAGGAAAGCAAACATACGTGCCATTATATGATTGAGATCTAACAGACAATAATGCCAAGAAATGTATAGAGGGAGTTATTAAACGAACTGTAATGTAAATTTGAAAAATAAAGGTGGGTGAAAAGACGACTTGCCAGGGGCAGGAACCAAACCTGCGACCTTCGAATAACGCTTTCGATGCTCTACCAACTGAGCTACCTCGGCGGCTATCCCTTTATTGGGTATATATGTGAAATAAACGTTGTGACCACTCACGAAGGATCTACTTGGCTACTTACAACGCTACAACCACTCAACCACCATGCCTGCCTATATATATATGTATATAAAGTAATGCCCTAACATATAAGTATACTACTTGAGAACGTGAAAGGAGTTGTGTCAGTAAATTAACTTTCAGGTTAATGTCTTTATAGGAAATTCGTGCCTTCTAAAACCTTTACGTACAAGTAGGTCTCTCACTTTTCGTGGTTAAGCCATTCCGTCATAGCTGGCTACACAATTAAGAGGCTTGTTACCTCCCGTCCTTCCCCCACATGTATAATGCCGGCCCTTAAGAGTAAATTACGACGATAATGATTACAGATACAGAATAACAAAGAAAATGGAGGAGAAACAAGTGCGTACCCGGGATGATGCTCATTTTGAGCTCGAGGCCACCGACCGTCTTGAGGACTTGGTTCTCTTGCACGCCGGCGCTGTACACGGTTCCAAGGACAATGTGGCGGAGTAGCAGGGCTGCGAGGTCAGTGAATAGCAAACATTATTTGCGTTTATACATATTTTTAATACTAGCGAACTATATGTATATGCACGTGTGAGTCAGCCGGCTTTCTGTCATGTTTACTAGAATGTCGTAACTCGAATTTCTTTTAACTTCTCACCGCTGTTCGTTTAAACACGCAGCCTGCTATCGCCCGGCTCTACGTCGACAGGCTTCTAGGCCATGTCCAGATGTATTCGTCGACTTGTGCGAACAAGATGAGGATCGCCTCCTGGCACAAGAAGGGCATATCTTCTCGCACTGCCGTGGAGCCTTGCTAGGCACCGAGTCGGTGCGTTTGTCACTATAAAGCCGTTATCTTGCGCTTCGCGAAGAATAAAGTTTTATGACTTCGCTAAGTGGTACGCCCATTATTTTCCCACCTGTTGCAGTTAAGAGCGCTCTGTACAGGTGAGATACAGACGTGACTGCTGTCAATCTATCTATCTATCTATCTATCTATCTATCTATCTATCTATCTATCTATCTATCTATCTATCTATCTATCTATCTATCTATCTATCTATCTATCTATCTATCTATCTATCTATCTATCTATCTATCTATCTATCTATCTATCTATCTATCTATCTATCTATCTATCTATCTATCTATCTATCTATCTGTCTGTCTATCTATCTATCTATCTATCTATCTATCTATCTATCTATCTATCTATCTATCTATCTATCTATCTATCTATCTATCTATCTATCTATCTATCTATCTATCTATCTATCTATCTATCTATCTATCTATCTATCTATCTATCTATCTATCTATCTATCTATGTAGCCGCCTACGCTTGTGTGCTCTCGTGGTCACCTCCTCAACTTGGCGTGAGCCAAAATTACCATGGGAGGGTAACATTGTTTTAGGAACATAACGCGCTGGTCAAGACATGAATAATGTCGCAATCCCGTCACGTACGTCGTCTAACACTTCCCGCCAGACAGTAGCACATACCCACAGGTGGGTATGTGCCACTGTCTCCCGCAATACACAGATACAGGACTTTAATACGGCACCTGTAAAAATGATCTCGATGAATGCGGCTTCATATGATGCCGTATCTTGAAATTGGCTAACGCTAATTATGGCGACTATGACACGCAGTCAAAGAAACAGGATAAAGTGTACAGTTATTGGGGGGAATAGCAAGTTCTGGTCATAAAGCGCCCCAATCGGGGACACGTGCCACAGTGTTAGCGGCGACAAGTGTACAGTGCGACAGTTGAATACATACCCTTGAGAGCTTCCCTGTCCCGCAATACGTTTTCCATGCCCACGGAGTTTTTGAATGCCTGGTCACTTGGAGCGAAAATCGTGTATGGTCCTACTCCTGCGAAAATCGGAGGAACGCAACGGGAGGCTTAAATTCCTGAACAGACGCAAGTTTTGATGATGACGATCATGATAATGATGATGACACCTCAAACATGGCTCATACCCACTCAGGGAAATCGACCAAAAATTCATTATGAGACATCTTCAGTATTAAATATTGATAAGAGAAAAAGAACGTACGCAAAACGGAGTGTTATTTTTTCGTTACGATCAGACAGTATCATAGTGAGAAATGAACGTGTATATAGATAGTAATATAAAAAATAAAGCTTTTCAAAATTTTGAACTATTGCTGCAATAATCTGGTTTAATTGCGTCGTCTTTAGTTATGTGAGACTCCACTCAGCGAAAAACAGCGAGACTGATGGCGCTGCGAAAGAAAGCCGCCACCAGTTATTTGTTTGACTGAAAACTTACATTTTTGCAGCGCTTAAGCACAACCACAAAAGAAAGGAACATGGGACGACGGGACATGTCCCGTAATCATGTGCTTCTGCGAACCTTACTTTGAGTTCTCTAAAGAAATGCTATAGCTATGTTTCTTAGACCACGACATTTTTGTGGTTCGATGGTCCGGCATAAAAAATCACTGAAAAGCAAGCGTTCTATAGTTTACCGGAGAGGTACTCCTCGAGTCCGGCAAACTTGATAGCTTCATCTAGCTTAGGGAGCAGGATAGACTGGTGAATGACGTCCAAGATGCTTCCTCCAGGCCGGTGAAGAACTCGGTCGATGGTGTAGAAGACGATGTTGCCCTGCTGCTTTTTGGGGCCGATGACGCCACCAGAAGCGGTTACGACCTGCAGTTGATGGAGTGAAGACATTCGTGGTTGGTCATCACTGCAGCCTTGCCCATTGTGTAGACATGCAGACATTACTGAGGCAAACAAATTCATGGCAGCGTATGGAGGGTGTAGTAAGTGGCTCTGCTTCAACCCACCCAGATGGTTCAGCTACACCAGGGCTTACTTACCCTTCCATTGAAGTACTTGTTGAATCGCAACAAGTTTCCTTCATCAAGTGTCGGGAAGGTCCTATCGTTGTCGATGGTGACCTGACCAGGAACAATGTGGTACAGGACGAGCTGCTTGAGGAGCTGAGTGTCACCTTCTAGCTTCGAGAGTAGCTGTCCCCGAATCTGAGCGATGGCGTCGTCACTTGGAACGAAGATAGTGTAGGCAGCTGCGATATGTAAACAAAAAAGAATATGTTTCTCTACGCAAGCTACGAGTTTTCATGCGTTCCACTGTAAGTGAATTTCGTTGCAGAGCTAACCAAGCTACTTATCTCACACAAGCAAGCACCGATTTCAAGATACCCAACGGCAATTTTTAACCTGCTGTTTAGGACTGGTCCTTCTTTTATATAGTTTCACGAGTCATTGCAGAGCAAAGCCAATTATTGGTAACAGTTCATTGTGAATGCAAAAAAAAGTGAGGCGTATTACGTAAATGGAATGAAGGTGCACCTTTGCTGTCCTTCTCTTCTCCAGTCCATTTTACGTACCACTTTTTTCATTTACAAGGACCCAAAGCAGGCTTCATGTCGGGAAAGGAATCGCGTTAATTTGTGTAACAAATCTTTTTAGAACAAAGGAACAACCAGGCATCACACAATGGAAATAGAATACCGAGTGGGTCATCGAATGCTCCAATTAATTACAATAGAGCACATTAGATAAATCACAATAATTTGCTATGTAATCTGTATCATTTTTATTATATAGCCTCCATTATTCTCACACTTCATTTTTTTTATAAAACCACTCAATTTCGGGCCAATCCCCCACAGTGGTTATGCGCCACAGCTAATCGATGAACAAGAACAAGATGCCTCCCTATTGCACAAAAATATAAATGTCGTAGCGGGTACCCTGTAAGTATGCTTGTAGCAGTTACCGAAAAAATGTGCAGAAAAGGCTTTAAAAAACAGTGCGGCTCCAGCTTTCGCTTTAACAGTGCTGTGCGTCCTGCGCAGACCTGGTACTGTTTTTTTTTCTCTGTACTGCAACAATGTAGCAAAGTGAGTAAAAGGACTTCGTGGTCAATGATCTACAATCCCATTTGCGCACATTAGCAAACATAAAGCGTGAGAACACGGCATGCTATAAGAGAGGTTCAGAATAGCGTACGCAAAACTTTGCGTATGCTCTTCGTCGCAGTAGCTGCCACTGCGCAATCACCATAACGCAAACAGCCGCTAGCATTTGCGGTGCGCCCGCAGCAAATCCAATAAAGATGCTGCCAACAAAGCCCTCTTGCGGTGGCTCAAGCACGCGTCAGCGTTTGCGGGGGACAAACACTATTGCAGAACTCGTAAGGGGAGTTTACGCTAACGGTACGCCCCCAGTGCCGACTTAGTGTACACGCTGTTCTAAAATTACCTGTTAAGCAAACAATAGTTAGACACACGTGACGAATGTTGCTAACTGCGAATAGTTATAGTACCTAAAATGTACATGTTAAATAAAAGAAGTGCGCCTGTGTCGTTACCTTTCTTGTCTTTTTGTTTGTCACACCTCAAATATTTAAAGACACTAAAGATTTTTCGCGTGTAAGTACAATTTCACAAACCCGAGAGCACCACTCTCACCGCAGCAAGAAAACACGCGAAAAGAGGAAGCGGGTGGAAACGCCCCCCTGAGAATCCTGCACCAAATACTATGACGTAGATAATTTAGAAGGAGTCTTCGTAGCTTCTCGTCGATAAAAATAAAATACATTGTCACGTGTGGCTGTCGTAGACCTAGCGTAAAAAAGCTTTAGAACACTTCATCGAGAGAATGTCGGGATAATATGAGAAATGCATTTTGAAATCAGTGGCGCAACACGCGGAGATTTCGACGCGAAAAAAAAATAAAACTTCGATCTTCATTTTCTCCACTAATAATGACCTTATGATAGCAGAACTTATGGTATTAGAATTCGCATCTAAACTGAGTCATTCTTCTTCTTTAGAGTCCCTTCATAACGAATCAGTACCAACTTGCTCGATTTTTGTGTTGCTTCAATGAAAACAAATAATGCAAATGAGTTGTGCAGAAAACCGCAAGTTCCAGAAGGGTCAAGAAGCTTAAGAAGGCAACTAAGAAGCTTTTTTTCTGAAAAATTTCTAAGGATTTCCCTGTGGCTTCGTTCTGCAAACGGGTGCTTGTCTATTTTCCCTTTCTTTAACACACAATATGACTACTAATATTAACAGCTCTCAAGTAGGTTATTTGAAGCTTAAAATAATGAGATTAGACTCATACCTCCATCATTAATTAGCTGAAGAACCCCGGTCTTCTGGAGCCAGGATAAATAGCGAGTAGCTTTCAGCTCCTTCAGCACAATATTGAAGTCCAATGGCTTGCCTTGTACTTGAAGCCCGGTGCCAGAAATGCTGTGTACTGTTGATGGGATTATACCGACTGTGTGTGTAACAACTTGACCAGGAACAAATGTGGTAGGAGGTTGAACAAGAAGTTTAGTCTTTCCATACGTGACTTGGCTTCCAGGTTGAAGCAATATAGATGTTTGAGGCTGGCCTATAGTCACTTTAGGAACACTGACTAGTGTTCCACCAAACTGAACGCTGGTAGTTGTGAGTGGAGACCCAGGACCAGATGGTACCCTAGAACCAAATAGCCCTTGTGATCCACCAGGTCCTCTTGGTCCTCCTAGCCCAGAAGGTCCCGATGGGAATGGCCCACTTGGCCCAGCAGGTCCACTGGGATATGGCCCAGCAGGTCCTCCTGGCCCGCTTGGTCCTCGTGGTCCACTAGGACCACTTGGTCCTCCAGGTCCCCTTGGTCCACCAGGGCCGCTTGGTCCACTGGGTCCTCCTGGCCCTCCTAGTCCTGAAGTTCCTAATGGGAATTGTCCAATTGGCCCAGATGACCCACTTGGTACTCTAGGTCCACTAGGCCCTCTTGGTACTCCTAGTCCAGAAGGTCCTGACGGGAATGGTCCACTTGGCCCGGCAGGTCCACTGGGATATGGTCCACTTGGTCCAGATGGACCCCTCGGCCCTCCTGGCCCACTTGGTCCTCTTGGTCCACTAGGACCGCTTGGTCCGCCAGGTCCTCTTAGTCCGCCAAGCCCACTTGGTCCACTGGGGCCTCTTGGTCCTCCTGGTCCAGATGGTCCTGATGGGAATGGTCCACTTGGTCCGGCGGGACCACTGGGATATGGTCCACTTGGTCCAGATGGACCACTTGGCCCTCCTGGCCCACTTGGTCCTCTTGGTCCACCAGGTCCCCTCGGTCCACCAGGCCCACTTGGTCCACTGGGGCCTCTTTGTCCTCCTGGTCCAGAAGGTCCTGATGGGAATGGTCCACTTGGTCCGGCAGGACCACTGGGATATGGTCCACTTGGTCCAGATGGACCCCTCGGCCCTCCTGGCCCACTTGGTCCTCTTGGTCCACTAGGACCGCTTGGTCCGCTAGGTCCTCTTAGTCCGCCAAGCCCACTTGGTCCACTGGGGCCTCTTGGTCCTCCTGGTCCAGATGGTCCTGACGGGAATGGTCCACTTGGTCCGGCGGGACCACTGGGATATGGTCCACTTGGTCCAGATGGACCACTTGGTCCTCTTGGCCCACTAGGACCGCTTGGTCCGCCAGGTCCTCTTAGTCCGCCAAGCCCACTTGGTCCACTGGGGCCTCTTGGTCCTCCTGGTCCAGATGGTCCTGACGGGAATGGTCCACTTGGTCCGGCGGCACCACTGGGATATGGTCCACTTGGTCCAGATGGACCACTTGGTCCTCTTGGTCCACTAGGACCACTTGGTCCACCAAGCCCACTTGGTCCACTGGGGCCTCTTGGTCCTCCTGGTCCAGAAGGTCCTGATGGGAATGGTCCACTTGGTCCAGCGGGACCACTGGGATATGGTCCACTTGGTCCAGATGGACCCCTCGGCCCTCCTGGCCCACTTGGTCCTCTTGGTCCACTAGGACCGCTTGGTCCGCCAGGTCCTCTTAGTCCGCCAAGCCCACTTGGTCCACTGGGGCCTCTTGGTCCTCCTGGTCCAGATGGTCCTAACGGGAATGGTCCACTTGGTCCGGCGGGACCACTGGGATATGGTCCACTTGGTCCAGATGGACCACTTGGTCCTCTTGGTCCACTAGGACCACTTGGTCCACCAGGTCCCTTTGGTCCACCAAGCCCACTTGGTCCACTGGGGCCTCTTGGTCCTCCTGGTCCAGAAGGTCCTGATGGGAATGGTCCACTTGGTCCGGCGGGACCACTGGGATATGGTCCACTTGGTCCAGATGGACCCCTCGGCCCTCCTGGCCCACTTGGTCCTCTTGGTCCACTAGGACCGCTTGGTCCGCCAGGTCCTCTTAGTCCGCCAAGCCCACTTGGTCCACTGGGGCCTCTTGGTCCTCCTGGTCCAGATGGTCCTGACGGGAATGGTCCACTTGGTCCGGCGGGACCACTGGGATATGGTCCACTTGGTCCAGATGGACCACTTGGTCCTCTTGGTCCACTAGGACCACTTGGTCCACTGGGGCCTCTTGGTCCTCCTGGTCCAGAAGGTCCTGATGGGAATGGTCCACTTGGTCCGGCGGGACCACTGGGATATGGTCCACTTGGTCCAGATGGACCCCTCGGCCCTCCTGGCCCACTTGGTCCTCTTGGTCCACTAGGACCGCTTGGTCCACCAGGTCCTCTTAGTCCGCCAAGCCCACTTGGTCCACTGGGGCCTCTTGGTCCTCCTGGTCCAGATGGTCCTGACGGGAATGGTCCACTTGGTCCAGCGGGACCACTGGGATATGGTCCACTTGGTCCAGATGGACCACTTGGTCCTCTTGGTCCACTAGGACCGCTTGGTCCGCCAGGTCCTTTTAGTCCGCCAAGCCCACTTGGTCCACTGGGGCCTCTTGGTCCTCCTGGTCCAGAAGGTCCTGATGAGAATGGTCCACTTGGTCCGGCGGGACCACTGGGATATGGTCCACTTGGTCCAGTTGGACCCCTCGGCCCTCCTAGCCCACTTGGTCTTCTTGGTCCACTAGGACCGCTTGGTCCACCAGGTCCTTTTAGTCCACCAAGCCCACTTGGTCCACTGGGGCCTCTTGGTCCTCCTGGTCCAGATGGTCCTGACGGGAATGGTCCACTTGGTCCAGCGAGGCCGCTGGGATATGGTCCACTTGGTCCAGATGGACCACTCGGCCCTCCTGGCCCACTTGGTCCTCTTGGTCCACTAGGACCGCTTGGTCCACCAGGTCCTCTCGGTCCGCCAAATCCGCTTGGTCCACTGGGGCCTCTAGGTCCTCCTGGTCCAGAAGGTCCTGATGGGAATGGTCCACTTGGTCCAGCGGGACCAACGGGATATGGCCCACTTGGTCCAGATGGACCACTTGGCCCTCCTGGCCCACTTGGCCCTCTTGGTCCACTAGGACCACTTGGTCCACCAGGTCCCCTTGGTCCACCAAACCCACTTGGTCCACTGGGGCCTCTTGGTCCTCCTGGTCCAGAAGGTCCTGACGGGAATGGTCCGCTTGGCCCAGCAGGACCACTAGGATATGGTCCACTTGGACCAGTTGGTCCAGACGGTCCTACTGGCCCGCTTGGTCCTCTTAGTCCTCCAGGTCCCCTTGGTCCGCCAGGCCCACTTGGTCCACTGGGTCCTCTTGGGCCAGAAGGCCCTGATGGGAATGGTCCGCTTGGCCCGGCAGGACCACTTGGATATGGCCCACTTGGTCCAGATGGACCACTTGGCCCTCTTGGCCCACTTGGTCCACTAGGACCGCTCGGTCCACCAGGTCCACTCGGTCTACCAAATCCGCTTGGTCCACTGGGGCCTCTAGGTCCTCCTGGTCCAGAAGGTCCTGACGGGAATGGTCCACTCGGTCCAGCGGGACCACTGGGATATGGCCCACTTGGTCCAGATGGACCACTCGGCCCTCCTGGCCCACTTGGCCCTCTTGGTCCACTAGGACCACTTGGTCCACCAGGTCCCCTTGGTCCACCAAGCCCACTTGATCCACTGGGGCCTCTTGATCCTCCTGGTCCAGAAGGTCCTGATGGGAATGGTCCACTTGGTCCGGCAGGACCACTGGGATATGGTCCACTTGGTCCAGATGGACCACTCGGCCCTCCTGGCCCACTTGGTCCTCTTGGCCCACCAGGTCCTCTTGGTCCACCAAGCCCACTTGGTCCACTGGGGCCTCTTGGTCCTCCTGGTCCAGAAGGTCCTGACGGGAATGGTCCGCTTGGCCCAGCAGGACCACTAGGATATGGTCCACTTGGACCAGTTGGTCCAGACGGTCCTACTGGCCCGCTTGGTCCTCTTAGTCCTCCAGGTCCCCTTGGTCCACCAGGCCCACTTGGTCCACTGGGTCCTCTTGGTCCAGAAGGCCCTGATGGGAATGGTCCGCTTGGCCCGGCAGGACCACTGGGATATGGCCCACTTGGTCCAGATGGACCACTTGGCCCTCTTGGCCCACTTGGTTCACTAGGACCCCTTGGTCCTCCAGGTCCCCTTGGTCCACCAAGCCCGCTTGGTCCACTGGGGCCTCTTGGTCCTCCCGGTCCAGAAGGCCCAAATGGGAATGGTCCACTTGGTCCCGATGGCCCACTTGGTCCTCCAGGTCCACTTGGTCCTCTTGGTCCTCCTGGTCCAGAAGGTCCTGACGGGAATGGTCCGCTTGGCCCGGCAGGACCGCTGGGATATGGCCCTTTTGGTCCAGATGGACCACTTGGCCCTCCTGGCCCACTTGGTCCTCTTAGTCCACCAGGTCCCCTTGGTCCACCAAGCCCACTTGGTCCACTGGGGCCTTTTGGTCCAGAAGGCCCGAATGGAAATGGTACACTTGGTCCAGAGGGCCCACTCGGCCCGCTTGGTCCTCTAGGGCCACTGGGCCCTCTTGGTCCACCTGGTCCTCCTAGTCCTGAAGGTCCTGATGGGAATGGCCCACTTGGCCCGGCAGGACCACTGGGATATGGTCCACTTGGTCCAGATGGGCCACCTGGCCCTCCTGGCCCTCTTGGTCCTCCAGGTCCAGATGGACCACCTGGCCCTCCTGGCCCTCTTGGTCCTCCAGGTCCCCTTGGTCCACCAAGACCGCTTGGTCCGCTGGGTCCTTTTAGTCCTCCTGGTCCAGAAGGTCCTGACGGGAACGGTCCACTTGGCCCGGCAGGACCACTGGGATATGGTCCTCTAGGTCCAGATGGACCACTTGGTCCTTTTAGTCCACTGGGACTACCTGGTCCTCCAGGTGCCTTTGGTCCACCAGGTCCACTAGGTCCACTTGGCCCTCTGGGACCAGAAAGCCCTGATGGGAAAGGCCCGCTTGGTCCTGCTGGCCCACCTGGTCCTCTTGGTCCACTCGGCCCAAATCGTTGTTTCTGTCCTCCTAGGAAAGAGTATATAGTATACAGTTAGGGAAATGCTATGTATGCTAAGGTGTTTCGTTAAATATGATGCATATGCTAATATAAAAATGAAGTATAAAATGGAATTCTTTGTTGGTATCATTAATATTCTCTACTTACAGAGGCCCTAAATACGAGGGTATCATATATGTGTGGGGGAACATCTGGACTAATCACTGATTAGAGGTCATAAATTAAGGAGACAGTCAACAGGAACTAATGAGGCACGGATATTACATGATGTATTTAAGAATGTTATTCCACGACAATTAAATTCAAGACATCTCACGCAACAACATCAACGGCATCAGAATTGGCAGCACTTCGTGCCGCGTTGCACTTTGTAGTTGATCAACCTACACGCAAGTGGACTATTTTCTGCGACTCGAAGGTGGCACTGCAGTCTCTACTATCAGCCTTACGCCGTGGACTACACGAGCAGCTGGTACTAGAGATAGCAGAGCTTATACACCACCTGACTGAGAAAGGTCCCCAAATTACATTTCAGTGGTTACCCAGTCACTGTGGAATCATCGGCAATGAACGGGCCGATCAAGCTGCCCGTTCAGCCCACACAGAAGATTATAAACTACGACTACAACTTTCTAGGACAGATGCTGCACGAAAGCTCCGCAGGCTTGCTCGCCAGCAAAACACATCACAATGAAATCAGCCACACTTCAAGCATGCCCGACTGTACTCGCTTGACTCTATGCTAAGTCTTCAAGTCCCGTCGAGGCTTCGCCGAGCAGACCAGACCCTGTTATGTAGGCTGTGGTTGGGCGTTGCGTTTACCAACGCCTACGCTTTCCGCATTGGGATGGCTGACACCGCGGCCTGTGGCCACTGTGGCAAAGAGGAAACCATTCAACATATTCTTTGTGACTGCCTAGCGTATAGTAAACAACGACTATGCCTTCGCAAGGAACTCATCAAATTAGACGATCAAACTCTGTCGCAGCAGGAAATCGTGCAGTATTGTCAAGATGCGACTTCACAGAAGAGGGCCCTGAAAGCGCTACTACACTTTTTGCGATTGACCGGCCTTACTGAACGGTTGTAGCTAGGACGCCCTTCCTGTGTGTGTTTTCGTTTTTTTATGAGTGCGCGTGCGTTTTTTTCCTCTATCTAATTCCTCTTTCTTGCCCCTACTTCCCCGCCCCCAGCGCTGGGTAGCAAGCCAGATGCCAATATCTGGTTAACCTCCCGGCCTTTCCTTTCTCACTCTCTCTCTCTAAGAATGTTATTGAAACATAGATGATCGGCACTGGATGAAGTTTTATTAGTTAAAAGAGGTGAGACACACACCAGCCTTCCAGACCCCTTCGTCATGCACAGTTATCCACACGATTTTAATGTTGGAAAGTTACCAAGTGAATGAAAGTTATTACAAACGCATCACGGGAAATTGAGCAACTGAGTGCAATCTGAATCGTGGATCGATTTCAGTGCGAATTAGCGGGTTCACAACGTTCCAGAAGTCAAGAGTTTTGTCTATTATTAACGGTGATTACTACTACTACTACTATATTATTATTATTATTATTATTATTATTATTATTATTATTATTATTATTATTATTAATGTTAATTTTTCGCCTGTAGTTTGATGGATAGCAGCAGGTAAAAGCTTCTCTCCTAAAGAGGCAGCTTGACAAAAGCCCGCAGCCATCTTTTAGAACTACTTCTTGAGTGTTATCTTCCAACGGAGTCGGACTAATCATTTATACGCACAAAATGGAGGAATGCTTGAAATGTCTCAAAATAAAATAGAAAAAAACAGAGAGAAGCTTGCAGTAGAGGATATGTATAGGGCACGAGGGTAAACAGTGCGTCTACTTTTCCAGTAAGCGAAGTGAAAACGTGAGTCCGTTGTTCTTGAAGGTTATCAGAAAAAACGAAAGTAGGTTGCATAAAGTTCCAAGGAGTTACAAAGAAAGCAAAGTGGCCCTGCGACGCTGTTTTGTATGTAGTGGAATGCTGGGATGTGTCCGATCGATTTTAGTATTGTTCCTGAAGAGCCCCGACGTCTCGAAGATCAACCTTGCTAGATGCATCCCCAGCGTCACAATAATTTGTTTTGTATTGCAGCAATCTTTATTGAGCATTTTGTCCTTGGCGTAACAAAGACACGATGTTTGTTTAACTTGAAAGAATTTTGCTTCAGTGTACAATATTTTAAACCCTCAGAACTCGCGACTGGCCGCTAAAATTGGAAGGCAGACGGCAAGACCAGCATTCACTCAATGACGGCTATACACCTGTATTTTTATTTTGCCGTTTACCGATGGCCTGCAGGTAAGCAACTGCTTCTTGTAAGTTCTTAGATTGGTGAATGAAAAATATTTATGAAGATTTTGTTTAGAAAAGCTCTATTTCCGCAGGCAAACTTAATTACCATGACTGCACAGCACCCCTTATGAAACTTGCGTAGAAGGTGGCGCCACATTTCCCTCTAGGTGCTGTTGCGTGAAACTCTGTGGTGGGCTAAAATGCTGAACTCACATATTACGCCATCTCCGCTCGCCCAAACTCAGAGGGGCGAGATGACAATGCGATGCGCTCTCTCCTTTGTGCTTGCTCTGATAAGTTTGCACGAAAGCCAGTGTTCGCAGTCATGGCGTGTGGTGTGTTGGTTGTTTTAGAAACGTGACTTTTTAGCAAGTTGTTATTTTGTTATGGCGACGGTAGAAAAGCAAACTAAATATGATGAAAGAAAGAAAATTTCAATTGCAGCGTTGAATTTCAGTTCTAAGAAAATGGTAAACATACTCGCTCACGAAACCATTATCAAGAAGTATGTTAGCACTATGGATGCTATCCTTTTTAGAAGCCAAGCTCATTTTGCTCGTATCATGCCCGTTGTCGCCGTCGTCATAGGTACGCGTCGTCCACCTGATTAACCGTACATAGCGCATTCATGTCGTGCATAGACCGTGCTCTGTCCGTTCGTGTGTGCATCTGTCCATCCGTTCGTTCGTGCATTCTTTATTATACTAGTGGGTGACTTCACCGTTGGCATTATGTACCTTAGGACCAAGCTTTGCTCCATCATCAGTATTCACTTCATGGATCGGCTGCCATTTTTTTCAGGTTTATTATGTTTTGTTCTTTTGAAGAGAAACTGCTGAAAAGAAAATGTCGCTGGAGCCAACATTTCAACAAGCGGCCCTGCCTCCATCAAAATAACAGCTGCCATCACGAGTAATATTAACTTCATGGTACTGACGTGCCAAAACCATGATGACCGTGATGTGATCATGAGAGATACCGTACGGGTGGGCTCCGAAAATTTGATCCACGTGGTATTATTCATTAACGCGCCCTGCTTTACTAGAGTACATGAACGCCTAGCCCATCATCTCTACAGTAATTTCATAGGCGAGGCCCAAATTGAGCTCGTGCTTGTGGCGGCATTTACACGTGCAGCTGAACACAGAAACCATTTAACCATCATGGTGGCAGACGTTGGCGAGGACAAGTCCACTAGTCGAAACGTTCGGGCTAGTAACATTGTGTTCAACAATTTTTCTTATTTTAAACTGTCTAGAAATTCTACGAAATTAACGCTGAAAGTTGTTCAGGACAGCTTTTTTTTTCAAACTACGACCGTGCTTTTCAGGATGTTCACAAGGCATATCTTTGTGGTCTTTCGTACACAAATAGTTCTGAAATATCACGCTATCATAATTTCAATGAGTAGTTCACCTGGTCCACTGGGTCCTCCTGTTCCACTTGGGCCACGTGGTCCTCCTGGTCCGCTTGGTCCTCCTGGCCCGCTTGGTCCTCCGACGCCACTTGGACCCCGTGATCCACTCGGTCCCTTCGGCAGCCCAGGGAACGCAAATGAAAATCCTCCAGGTGTTCTTGGTCCAACTGGCCCACCAAGCATAAATCCTGACACACCAGTAGTAAAGGTGGTGACCGCAGGTGCTCCAGGGAAGATTTTCAAGGTTGTTACTCCTACACAAGCAGGAACAGAACCGAACAATGCATTGTTTTTTCATTGAAGATGTAGTATTACTGAGATAGAAACTTGCACTAAAACACCAATTTGCATTATCAAGGTCCTCAATTATCAATACTCCTGTTATTATTACCCCTACTTATGTACTGCCCCCACGCAATATCTCAATGTAGGATCCTGTGAGGTCATCTGAATAAATTTTGAATAAAATATGCGCTGCTACTAATAAGCAACTGCGCATACATACCCAGATGTTTGGTAGTGGCATTCCCCGTCGGCGTTCGTCTGCCCTGGTGTGTTTCTTAGTTGCCAAGGATACATTAGCGGCATCACACATTAGACGCCGGTGAGCCCACTACCCCTCTCCTATTTCACTGTGCCACGACACGTACCGAAGAGCAACTGGTGATGTGAGCAGGCATGCGCTCAAATATAGAGGGGGTAGGAAGACGGCTGAAACGCGTGACAATTGGTGAGAGCCGGAGCAAGTGCACCTTGCGCGTGCTCTGTCCTTTGATGTGTGTGGGGTAAACGCTGCCTAAAAATAAACTCCAGTACGTGTTCGACCATACTGAGATAAGGCCGTTTTCAAAAAAGACTGACAGTCCTGCAACACCTAGGGCCATTCATGTTGCCCAGACACTCGTCAATAGTTTTAGTTAAACAATCAATGATCAGTTAAAACAGGAACTGAAACAGGGAGCTGCTACATTCTCTATTGTGTGTATCCGATCACATCACGAAATGCGTATCTGATGACCTCACGAAATCTGACATACACCGCCACGGCTGGCCAGGGAGTGAAAATAGCTCACGTGCGTTTTCTCACTATGATAAGCAATTGATGATGTCATTTAGTGTGGAAACAAGCTGTGCCAGATCGTCTGAACTTACCAGTGACACGTTCAGCGATGATTGCAGCTACTATCTGATCTGCAACACCTAGGGCCATTCATGTTGCCCAGACATTCGTCAATAGTTTTAGTTAAACAATAAATGATCAGTCAAAACAGGAACTGAAACAGGGAGCTGCTACATTCTCTATGGTGTGTATCAGATCACATCACGAAATGCGTATCTGATGACCTCACGAAATCTGACATACACCGCCACGGCTGGCAAGGGAGTGAAAATAGCTCACGTGCGTTTTCTCACTATGATAAGCAATTGATGATGTCATTTATTGTCGAAACAAGCTGTGCCAGATCGTCTGAACTTACCAGTGACACGTTCAGCGACGATTGCAGCTACTATCTGATCGCGGAAGCATCGCCTTTTGATTTCAACCCATCAGCACGTGAAGCATCTGATGTGCCCCGAATAGATGGCTGTGTTGCTAAATATTGTGCATGCTTGTGTAAGGCCCGATATCAACGACGACTAACACACTGTATGAAGCTCACAAAACTGAACTGTGCTCGCGGCGTCGTCAGCTCGTAAAAGAAAGCACGCGCTGCATCCGTTTTCTGGGCAAGGCGGGGCTTTGAAAGAGAGTAGGCACTTGCGCCACATACAAAGGGTGGCTCGCGGTTACAGAAGTGATTACAGAACTGGCTACCAATATTTAAAATATGGTTTCCGAAAAATGGATGACTTGGCGTAGTATTATTGGGTGCATTTCACCACGGTACCGTCTAGAACAGATGTTGAAATCTTCATCAAAATTGGTGAATATGGAAAAATCCTTCGATCCCTTTTAACACGGCGTCCAGCTGGTGCAATGGCAGAGGGATTTGAAGCGAGCATGCGGCAAGAAATACGTGACGTTAGCGCGCCAGATGTTCGCGATATTCAGTGAATCTTATGTTATGAGCTACCTTAATATTGGCTCTATCATATAAAACCCTCAATTAACTACTCTGCCACCACACCGAAATTTTTTTGCCGCGGTAAAAACAGCCCAAAACGACAGTAGACGTCGACCACGTCTGCCTGCACGGCCCCCACTTAGGATCAAAGTGGTGCCCCTACCGAAAAAAAAATTGTGCCCGCGCCCCTGTCCACTCGCACCGCACCACGTCGCCTTGGCGCATGCACGTTAGCTCATCATCATCATCATTATCCATACACCACCACTATTATCCTGACTACGCCCACAACAGGACTAAGGCCTCTCCCATGATCTGCTAGTCAAGTCGGTCCTGTGCTTGCTGCTGCCATTTTGTACGCGCAAACTTCCTAATCCCATCTACCCACCTAACTTTCTGTCTTCCCTCACCCGCTTGCCTTCTCTTTGAATCCAGCTTGTGATCTTTAATGACCAACCGTTATCTTGGCTTCGAGATACACGGCCTGCCCATGTTTATTTCTTCTTGATTTTGACTATGGTGTTATTACAACCCGTTTGTTCCCTGACACACTCTGGTCTCTCCTTGTCTCTGAGGGTTATGACTATTACTTTCCTTTCCATTGCTCGCTGCATCGTCTTGAACTTAAGTTGAACCCCCTCTTTGTAAACCTCCAGCATTAAAGAAGAATGGCTATTTGGGCTAGTTGGTTTGAATTCATGGTAATAAGGTATTAGCATAATTTATAGCCAAATCAAAACTCCCAAACATCTGCGCTCAAAATTCGCATTAAGCCTGTTTCGCACGCTGTGATTGCAACAAAAAAATCCCCTTTTTTACTTTATTCGCCCTGTTCGTAACCACCGCTAAAGATCGTTTTGTTTCACATCGGCAGCGAATCTTCTGTCATATTCACTTTGGGACTGGTGCAGATTTTGTGGCGGACACTGCACAATTTTGTAACGTATTGTAAAAATATGTGCGCCATGACATTAAGTTCTCATGAACAGTAATGAAGAGCACCCGTGTTTTGTAATTTTAATGAAACCTTTTTGCCCTTCCAAGCAAGTAAGCAACTGCTTTTTTAAGTAAGCAACTTTGGTCAACAAAATTGACTTAATTTTAATCGCTCGACCATTGCGTTATTATTTCGATAGGTACCGACCAAAAAATTGCTCCACCACGGTGAACACATGGAGAAATTTTCAGAATGTTGGTCGCTTGACGAAGAATACTTAGGTGCGAATGAACGGCTTTTTTTGCACTGTGGGCACAGTCGCACCAAAATAATCGCTGCATTTTATGTCATCTAAAACAGCCTTTAGGCACTTTTGTATTTGTGAGTGATGTTTTCGTTCCTTGCTTATGTCACCTTCCTTCATACGAATATTAAGCTGCACCAAAGCTATACAAGAATATTACGCAAGCATTTTTCTGATGTAATATCACTAAAGATAAAAAATCATACCTCCTTGATCAAACAGATCATCTAAACAGAGAAAAGGTTCATAAAATTGTTGCAATATTATCACTGTTTCAAGAAGTGGTTATTTATATTGCCACTTGGTCATGAATTGTGGCGAGCACCAGCCCGCATCGAGAAAAAACAAACGAAGAAGTCATTTTGGGATACCGCGTGCTATCCCAAAATGATATTCTCGGCGACAAAACAAAACAAGACTTCTTCATTTGTTTGATGTGAGACAATATCATGATGTAACATATTGGATAAAGCGAGGGCCGATAGATCTATATTTAAACACGCCTAAATCTACTTACCTGGTGTCTTCGGAACAGGAAGTCCGCTTATAACAGTCGCACCACTTGGACCTCGCAGCACAGCAGACACTGGACCTTTAGATAAGCCTGGAAGTCGTGGGGCGCTGGTTACACCTGTGACAATGGGCAACCTTGGTGCGCCAGTAACACCTGTAGCCCCAGGAAGCGTTGGACCTCGAGGCACATTCAAAACACCAGGCGCTGCTGGAATGACTCCATCAGGTGGGAGGTAGCCAGGTCGTCTTCTCGGTGATGTTCTAGATCCACTGGGTACCCTTGGTCTACTAGGACTTGCCGGTCCGGATGGACCAGAGGGTCCTTTTGGTCCACTTGGCAGGGGCAAGCCGGGTACCTTTGGAAGCCCTGGTGCAGTTGGGCCACCGAAAATAAAACCACCTGGCGCATTCGGTCCCACAGGACCACTTCCTTTTGGTCCCGCAGGTCCACTTGGCCCACCAGGTCCTCTTGGCCCACCAGGTCCACTTGGTCCACCCAGTCCGAATGGACCTCCAGGCCCACCAGGTCCACTTGGTCCACTTGGTCCACCCGGTCCTAATGGACCTCCTGGCCCGCTTGGTCCTCGAGGCCCACCAGGCCCACTTGGTCCACCAGGTCCTTTTGGCCCACTTGGTCCTGTAGGTCCACTTGGTCCACCCGGTCCAAATGGACCTCCTGGCCCGCTTGGTCCTCTTGGCCCACTAGGTCCACTTGGCCCACCCGGTCCAAATGGACCTCCTGGCCCGCTTGGTCCTCTCGGGCCAGCAGGCCCGCTTGGTCCACCTGGTCCTTTTGACCCACTTGGTCCGAATGGTCCATATGGACCTCCTGGCCCGCTTGGTCCTCCTGGTCCTAGTGGACCTCCTGGCCCGCTCGGTCCTCGTAGCCCGCCAGGCCCACTTGGTCCACCGAGTCCTTTTGTCCCACTTGGCCCACCCGGCCCAAATGGACTTTTTGGCCCACTTGGTCCTCTTGGCCCACTCGGTCCACTTGGTCCACCCGGTCCCAAGGGCCCTCCTGGCCCGCTTGGTCCTCTTGGCCCACCAGGCCCACCCGGTCCAAATGGACCTCCTGGTCCGCTAGGTCCACTTGGTCCACCCAGTCCCAATGGACCTCCTGGCCCGCTTGGTCCTCTTGGCCCACTGGGTCCACTTGGTCCGCTCGGTGCGAATGGACCTCCTGGCCCGCTTGATCCTTTTGGCCCACTTGGTCCAAATGGACCTCCTGGCCCACTTGGCCCTCTTGGCCCACCAGGCCCGCTTGGTCCACCAGGCCCTTTTGACCCACTTGGTCCTTTTGGCCCACTTGGTCCGAATGGTCCGCCAGGTCCATATGGACCTCCTGGCCCGCTTGGTCCTCCTGGCACACCACGTCCTTTAGGCCCACTTTGTCCAAACAACCCACTTGGTCCTTTTGGACCACCAGGTCCACTTAGTCCACCAGGTCCAAATGGCCCACTTGGTCCTTTTGGACCACCAGGTCCACTTAGTCCACCAGGTCCAAATGGCCCACTTGGTCCTTTCGGCCCACTTGGTCCACCCGGTCCAAATGGACCTCCTGGCCCACTTGGTCCTCTTGGCCCACTAGGTCCACTTGGCCCACTCGGTCCAAATGGACCTCCTGGCCCGCTTGGTCCTCTTGGCCCACCAGGTCCGCTTGGTCCACCAGGTCCGCTTGGCCCACTCGGTCCAAATGGACCTCCTGGCCCGCTTGGTCCTCTTGGCCCACCAGGTCCGCTTGGTCCACCAGGTCCGCTTGGTCCACCTGGTCCATATGGACCTCCTGGCCCGCCTGGTCCTCCTGGTCCACCTGGTCCTAGTGGACCTCCTGGCCCGCTCGGTCCTCGTAGCCCGCCAGGCCCACTTGGTCCACCGAGTCCTTTTGTCCCACTTGGCCCACCCGGCCCAAATGGACTTTTTGGCCCACTTGGTCCTCTTGGCCCACTCGGTCCACTTGGTCCAAATGGCCCTCCTGGCCCACTTGGTCCTCTTGGCCCACTCGGTCCACTTGGTCCACCCGGTCCCAATGGCCCACTCGGTCCACCCGGTCCCAATGGCCCTCTTGGCCCACCAGGCCCACCCGGTCCAAATGGACCTCCTGGTCCGCTAGGTCCACTTGGTCCACCCAGTCCCAATGGACCTCCTGGCCCGCTTGGTCCTCTTGGCCCACTGGGTCCACTTGGTCCGCTCGGTGCGAATGGACCTCCTGGCCCGCTTGATCCTTTTGGCCCACTTGGTCCAAATGGACCTCCTGGCCCACTTGGCCCTCTTGGCCCACCAGGCCCGCTTGGTCCACCAGGCCCTTTTGGCCCACTTGGTCCTAATGGTCCGCCAGGTCCATATGGACCTCCTGGCCCGCTTGGTCCTCCTGGCACACCAGGTCCTTTAGGCCCACTTTGTCCAAACAACCCACTTGGTCCTTTTGGACCACCAGGTCCACTTAGTCCACCAGGTCCAAATGGCCCACTTGGTCCTTTTGGCCCGCTTGGTCCTGTAGGTCCACTTGGTCCACCCGGTCCGAATAGACCTCCTTGCCCGCTTGGTCCTCTTGGCCCACTAGGTCCACTTGGCCCACTCAGTCCAAATGGACCTCCTGGCCCGCTTGGTCCTTTTGGCCCACCAGGTCCGCTTGGCCCACCAGGTCCTTTTGGGCCAATTGGTCCTGTAGGTCCACTCGGTCCAAATGGTCCACTTGGTCCTTTTGGCCCACCAGGTCCACTCGGTCCAAGTGGTCCCCCTGGCCCGCTTGGTCCACTTGGCCCCCCAGGTCCACTTGGTGTACCCGGTCCAAATGGACCTCTTGGTCCACCAGGCCCTTTAGGCCCGCTTGTTCCTGCAGGGCCACTTGGTCCAAATGGTCCACTTGGTCCTTTTGGTCCACCAAGTCCACTTGGTCCACTGGGTCCAAATGGCCCACTTAGTCCTTTTGTCCCTCCAAGGGTTTGGCTCAGTGGTCGGCTTGGCCCACCAGGTACACTTGGCCCACTGGATGAAAATGGCACAGTTGGTGCTTTAGGTGTTCCAATAGAAGGGACTTTGGGAGCTCCTGGGGTTCCAAACTGGAATGTGATTTGAGGAGGCTGGCCAGGGAGCAGAGCTTGAAGAGTCCCAGGACCTGGAAACGTACACAATTTACATGAGATGACGTCTGCGGTGGACTGATGCAAACTATGACACTTGTATATGCTTGCTTTTATATATAGTATATAGTCATCGTTTTACATCATAACCTCTGCTCCATGAAATATGATAGTAATCATGATAGTAATCATTGCATGCAATATAACATTGTCAGAAAAGCTTTCTCACTGGTGGCCTACATGCACTTTATCAATAACAGTTCCTTTTTGGAATGATGACATCTTTAGAATTAATTAGGTTTGTGTTCTTCCACCTTTCAAACAACCTTAACATAGAGCATTAAGAGTGCCGTGAATAAATAAGCTACGTGTTTAGCGCCTTGCAACTGCAATTTCTTGTAATTTGCTTTGTTTCTGCATAAATTCATATATTCGGAATGATCTGAGCCTACATATAAGACTCTGCAGTGCAGTTAACAGATTCTGCATGAGATATCCTCCTATGTATGGCTTTCATATGAAGCCACTAAAGCTTAAAGATATACTAAACAAAAATTTTCCCCCAGGATGTTCATGCAATTGAAAGATTGGACCCTGAAAACGACAGAGACAACCTTCATTCCAGTCTGAGTTTACGGAAAAATAATGAATTTACTGCGTTTTTTACAAACTTAAATGTCTAGCTGCCACACCATGAACTACAGGAGGAGGCGTTTGGTGACGTCACAAACGCCTGAAATGGGCATGCGGAGAATTTCAGCCATCGCCCGCGTCTCTCGACTCGCTCATCTCCCCCTACAGTTCCCAGAATCGCTATGAACAGCCCCGGTTGCGAACGGTGCTCCCGGCTGAGAAAAAGCATCAGCGCTTTAGTGAAAGGGGGAGAGTGGGGTAAACGGAGAGGTGGAGAAAATGAAGAGGTGACAGGAACACGCGCATACTGCATGTCTCGGCGATTGTGACGTCACGGCACGCGTTCTCTGCAGCCGCCACACGCTGACAATCCATCAAAAAATACAGCCAACTGTTCAAAAATATGAGAAATCAACTGTTTGTCAGAACAGTTACATCTTCGGAGCAGAATTTTGAGGTTACGTCTGTTTTTGGAAGTTTTGTTCGTAATCCTGTAAGGAGGCCCTGAACCACATTTCGTCAAACCCAATGAAATACTTTGGTAGAAGTGAAGTAACTTCATGAACTATATATTCAAAAGAACTCTTTAAGACCTCTAGTATTTGTGCATATACGACGAGTACGCAGTTTCACTCCCACATTGCTCACCATTTCCCGTATGCCAATTCAGCGGTGTGACCTTCCGGCTTATGACACCACGTTTTCCCTTTACATGCGGGTGCAGCTGAGCGGTATGTGAAAGAAAAACGGGAAAGCAGTGAATTTATACCGCAACTTAACAAAACTCTTAATGAAAATTATCTCCTGTGGTTGGCTTAATTAACCTCATCAGTTATTACATGCTAAAATATGAATATATGCATTGACTGAAGCACCCTACCGATATTGTGGCTAATAAGCGCTCTATATGGTCGACACTAAGGAGCAGCCTCCCGCTGCGAGCCCTTTGCCTCGAATCGGTTTTAAAGCGGTGTTAGGATGTGGTCGACGTAGTGCACTGCTTGTGAACTCCCTGCACCACACAATACTCCAAAATTTATCTGCCATGTTGCTAGCTCTGTCTTCTACCTAAGGAATGTATTATATATGTAAGTATGAGCAGTGGTTCTGGGCCCCTTTTGAGTTCTGTAATTGATGCAACTATTCAAACAGACTGCGCACCAATCCGCATAAGGTGTGTCTCATTGGATCTGTTTTGGTAAGCAAGACTGTTATTAATACTAATAAATCCAAACGCATTTTGCCTGTTTGTACTGACGTGGGCCATATTGTGTTAAATTGTTTGCCATGGAATATACATCATGTTGTGAGTGATGGGAAGCGTGCTCGAAAATTCTCAATAATGGAAATAGGATATTCGCTCTCAATAACCACTTTTTTCTAATGACAGGCATCTTAAGAATACTAAAACATGTTATGACTGTAATAAAGAAATTAAGGTGATTATCATCTTATAGTGGATACAGGTGGTAGGGTCAAATGGGACACTTCAAGAATGCAAAGGGTGCACTGCCATTTAGGTATTTCGAAAAGTGACCTTTGCTTGCGGAGTAATGAAATTTGACCAAATTCACCAGCGAAAGCAAAGCTGAAACGTTGAAGAGCATGATTGGCACATTCTTCGGAGACGTCTAGGATCTGACTGAGGGTCGTTATGCCAACCATCAACCGACTTGATTTACTGAGTGTGCGGATTCTCATTGAGAATATAGAACGCATGCTGCATAAAAGGTAACGAATTCAGTAGAACCAACTTCGTACATCATTGTTTTGAACACTGACGTTATTATGATAATTTCCTAGGTTGCTCTCGGTAGTACATCAATTTTGGTGTCGCCGGAAAATTTGGTCGAATTTCATTAATCCGCAATGCAAAATCAAGATGGGAGCTGACAGATGGAAACACGTAGAGGGTAATCAGGGTGAACAGAGGAAGTGCCTCAGACACTTCCACGCGTGTTCCTGTTGATAATCATCATCTCAAAAGAAAAAAAAAATCTCTCCTGCTTCATAGTTTTTTTTCAGACAGCGATTATCAACAGGGACACTCGCCACCACCAGGAGATGACGTCACTACTAACCCCTTTAAACTAACACGACAAGGATGACACAGCGCCTTTGAGAAAGATAGGCCCTCCCATCAAAACGTCAGTCAGCCTGTCTGAGGCACTTTCTCTGTTCACCCTGATTATTCCGCAATGGATACTAGAGGCCGTTTATTTTTCGAAATATCAAAGCACCAATGGGCTCTTCACATGAACCGCTTCAATTGTCCCATTTGGACCAATTGCGCTTCTTCGCAAAACAGAAGTTAAATTAATTTTCTTGCCTACTGCCCCTAAAGACATCTTCAGCCAACCAAAGCAGCCTGTCGCTACATAAAGATTAATTCTGAAGACCATGAGCAGATATGGCACTTCCCTCATTTGTGACAATATTCAGACGCATTTCTTGGTGCAATTGTAGAGTAGTATCTACTCGAGGCGTAGAGGTCCACAATTCGCTTCCCATGACATATTTGAATTCGTGAATGTTCTCAAATTTCCATATAAGAAAATGTGCGTATCATGACAGCGTGTTAACAACTTCGTATATGCTGACTTGGGGTTGGGAGTTTTTTTTTAAGTTTTGCCTGATATGAACCCACCAGCGCTAGGTGAGATGCTTGATGACCCTATAGAGTCTTGGCTGGATGTCTTTCTTGTTCCAAAAGGTCCCAGTACTGGTGCCTTTGGCGAGAGAGTGTCTCGTGGCCTCTGTGTATCGTCTGTGGGGGTGTATGACGTAAAGGCTGGTGTCCTTGATGATGGGTACTGAACACTCGGTGGAAGTTGTGGCTGTGTGGATTGTGAAATATCTGAGGCTGGTCCAACCAAAATGGCACTTCCTTGAAGTCCTGGTGTCTCAGGTGGCACTTTTGCTTGTTCGCGACCGTTATTCGAACTTCTAGATACATTCTCCTTTCTCAAAGCATGTGTAGGAGGAAGCGCCTGGCGAATAAGGTCGTAAAAAGAGCTGTCATCACAGGGTGGGAATGTCTTAAATATTGGTGATAATGGTAGGGCTTCACGGGGGTCTTGTAACGGTGTCTTCAATTTTAAGAGGTGACCAGGAAACTTCGCGGTTTCTGCAACGCCAGCTGAAGACTTGTGTACTAAACCAGGTAATTCGTCTTTTTGTGTTTTTTGGTGCTTCAGAGGTTTAATGCCCTGGAAGAATGTCATGAGGCTTGCTGAGCCTTCTTTTGGCGGCGTAGGTTTAAGTGTTGGCAAGTTTAATTTGTGAAGCGTAGGAGGCACCCTGTGAACGACATCACGTGGAGGAACTGCGACCGACAAAGTTGGCTGGTGCAACAGAGGCTTTTCTATGCCCTCACCGTACAGAGCCATCATTGCTTGTTGATGTGTAAAGTTAGGAGACGAAGTGTCATCAGTTGCGCGGGATGGAGATTTCTCCACGTTGGGGACATTTGCACTAACCCGATCAGCGTCAGGCTGGCTAAGCGAGGGCTTTAAAGCAGCAGATGGAGTTGGCTGTTTGACACTGCCTGATTCAGGGAATAGAGAAGCGGGTTTCCCAGCTTGCACGGTGCCTACACTGAAAGGAAGCAATGACCCAGCAGGGGTAGCCACTGGTCTATTAGCCTGTGTGGGCAGAGTAAAATGCGGGAAGAACTGCGGAGCACTAGCCAGATTTCCGGCATTAGGTTTATGGCGCTGACCAAAGCCCAGTCCTGAAGGAACGAGCTTCATGGGCGCGGAAGCGACGAGCGGCACTTTAGTAGGGGAAAACGCTGCGTGCACTACAGGCCTAACGAAGACATCTGGCTGCTGACCTAGGACAACTGTCTTGGGTGGGGAGACGATGTGCGTGGTCTGCGTCACTGTACCCGGTACCACGACGTGGTGAACGAGACCCGGAAGCTGCTGGCCGACGACAGTAGGTCCCTTGAAACCGATCTTTCCACCGGTGAGAAGGATGTCTCCTCCCCCATGCGATGCGATGCAACCGCAGTCCTCGATCACGCTCTGCGGCACCAGCAGCCGGTTTACAATGTGGATGACACCATTGGTCGCACCGTCGTCCTTGTTGACGAAAGGGACGCCGTCAATGAAGAGTTGTCCTGCGTGAAACGGAAAAAAATAGACGTGTACATCTAAGGGTCACGAATATACATGGGGTAAGTTAGCACCAAGAGAGATAAGTATATCTGTACTTCTTGTAGTGTTATGATGCTACTCACCCAACCAATCAGAGCTCGGTTATTCTGCGAACATTTTTACTGTTACACTGCTCAATCGGCACTTACTCAGCACTTTTTCAAGCGCGTTCACTCGAGGTTGCATCATACAATTCTATTTTAATGCCGCAGCTCAACAATTTGTCACAACCAAAATGTCTGACTAACGTGATGAAAAAAACGCAGTTTGTTTTTGAAGTAACTTTTTTTTCATTTTGTACACTCCTTAAATCCAATGCTTTAAAATATACGCTGCTAAAGATAATTATTTTGCTAAGAAAACGTGCTAACAATTGAATACATTAGCATATAGAGCTATCGAATAATAGGAGTACGCGTTGGGGTAATTCACAAGCAACACTTAGAAGAGAGGGGTGGATCAACAGACCTCCTGATTACGTTATAAATTTACGCTCAAAAGTTGTTGCTGTGTTACAGTTATGGGCTACAGGAAATCCGCCAAATATCACACATATGTTTGAACGACAAGGGAATTTGGCAGGTAGCCCTATTGTGCTATTTTTAAAAGAGCAGTGACATCAAATTTCAAACTCGAGATGTGGCGTTCATTCGATTGCTCAGTATGCGTCTGTTTTCTTAGCGAAGTATATGAATCGCGTTCAATACGTAGAAATGATATTGCTTTAGCGCAGCTCAGTTTGAGCTTGAAGGAAAGATACTATGCAGTGAAGAAAGGGAAAAACAGATGAAAGTGTGAGCGCTAACTTCCAACTTTTGTTTATTGCATACCCATACAACACATTATATAGCTTATTCCACGTGACGCGACACACATGACAAAACCATACACGTGTGGCACAGCACACTATCAAGGAAACCTAGTTGTTATATGATTTCAAATTAACAAATATATATCGATGCGTCACAGCACACGCTCCAAAAAATTGACCTCTTTTTGAGATAAGGCCACAGACAGCGTACTCACACACAGCTTCACACATTTTCCGATAGCTCTCGCCTCAGTTTTTTTCCCGTGTCAGCTGGTTATGACAGTGGCCCAAGATGGTACACTGATCTGATCAAACAATGAAGTACATCCACACGTCTTACAATGCATAGCCAGGAAACCACCAGAAGAAATCTTGTTTTTTTTTTACATTGCACGAGTGTTCGCGCAAACGGTCATTAACACACCTACGGGTCTGCCCAATATAAACCGCGCCACACGACAGGAGGAACGTGTACACAAAAGCTAGGGCGCATTCTACAAACTTAGTTACATGCTTCTTTCCACAGGTGGGCAGGACCGGTGCCTGGCGTGGCAACGCCAGCGTCGCGCGACGAAATGAACGCCGGCGAGCACCCGCACCGTGTCACGTCGAAATGTATTGGCGCCTTGACTGCGGCATGTCATATTCTCACATGGCGCGCATCTGATGATTATCATGTTTGCACCAGTCACAGATAATCGTCATCCATTGGCTTCACGTAATACCGAATTTGGCGTTTGTGAAGCCAGCGACTGCCGTGAGCGCATCATCAGTGTGGCCTGTAGTCATGTTGTTACATGACACGCATGTCTGTTATTATAATGTTTGGATGTGTCATCAACCTATGTCGTTCGTTCGCGTCGCGTAATGCCGAGTTTGATATAAGTGAACTTAGCGAAACGGCCACCAGCGCATCATGAGCGTGGCATGTAGTCATGTTGTTACATGACACGCATCTCCTATTTATCATGTTTGCACCAGTATCATACCTTCGTCATCCATTCACGTCCCGTAATACCAAATTTGGTATAAGTGAAGCTATCGCGACGGCCGCGAGCGCATCATGAGCGTGGCATGTAGTCATGTTGTTACATGATACGCATATGATGATTTTCATGTTAGGGTCTGTCGCTTGTGTTCGCCATGCAATCATGTCATACCATACCAGTTTTGCAACATGCCATGTGAATGAAACCACCGCAAGAGCTGCAGGACCATGAAAAGTAAATCCTAATATTCATGACATACGTGTCGTGATTTTCATGTCATGACTAGTCAAATATGTTCTTCATACAGTCATGTTATGCCATACCAAATTTGGTATCGATACCATTTTCTAAACGGCCAGGAGAGCTTAAAGTCATAGGCTGATAGCTAGATTAATAGATACGCTCAAAGCCACCGAAGTTCGCTAAGAAATGCTTCGCATTTCAAAAACAGCGTAGGGGACAGCGCCCAACACCGATCTCAGACAGCGCCCATCGCAGAAACAAGAGCACCGTCTTATTCGCCCCTCCAGGTATTGCAGGTGGCATGGCTCAGGCGGTCACGCTACGTTTACTGCAAACCGGAACATTCCCCACTCCGTATTTTCTACATAAAGTTCTCCCTATTAGTGAAATTCAAGACAAGTGTGACGCGTGCGATGGCATCATTGGCATCAGACACATGCTGGTGGGCTGTCCCGCGACTCTCGCCGACCCCGAAGAACAATGGCTTTACTGGCAGACGATGGTGCGAAGCGCGTCTTATCAAGACCAACTACGGGCAGTCCAGAATGACGCCACAAGGCTCGGCTTAACGGTACCGACGTGGACGCGGCCCGCCTCGGTCTGAAAAGACCGGGCTTCAGGACACAAATAAAGTTTTGTGAATGAATGTCTCTCGCTGGCGAACACGCGTTCTTGCAAGCTTTTCCTGAGTGAACGCTCCGTCTTATTTGCCACCGGCGCGGGCGAGGAGAGCAGACGCCGATACATGACGGGCTCCGCTCTTAAAACACGTCATAGATAGTTCAGTATCGACACTATCACTCACCAGCTTGCGTAGTGACTCGAAGAACTTCGCCGTCAAGCGGTGTCAGCGTAGCACCATCCTTAAGAGCAGCGCTGAACTGCAGGCCGGGAACGATGTGATGAGAAACGACGCCTGCGAAAAGAAACGTTCAGGCCATTCTCATTTTACGCTACAATTGAACGCAAGCTGCATCTTTAAGCATCAGTTTAATGCTTCTAAGCTCGCTGTGTGGCTACAAAAAGCTAGGCAGAATTTTTTATGGCTGTTGTTATTGATTTTTTTTTCGGTGTAGGGGGAACGTTACGTACGCTTCACAAGCTCGTTGTTTGATAAAATCTTCTGCGATGTTTCCGCTGGCAGATTGGTGATGGCGTCTTGAGTTGGTATGAAGACAGTGTACAGGTCACCTGGAAAAAGAAGACATCAAAGTCGTAAAGTTCAACAAGTGTCCTTCGCTTCTCCACGGGGCATGCTTTCACCAAAAAGCATAGGAACACCTTTTGATATGTACACCAATACGCTAAAGCTTTTGATAATCATACAGTTGGCAACGCCCACAATGTCAGCACGAAATGAGTTTCAGTAAACAGAGTGATCTCCAACGTGTAAACCACGCATGAATGTGTCAAATCTTTACTGTTCAGTACATAATAAATACAACGACTCTTTATATTATGTAATGTTTTTCCCAGAAGCGCGAAGCATACCGCGTGAATGATACACTTTACAAACGATATTACAAAAATATGCAGTCGCACTTGGGTACGGCCTACGCCGCTTGAAGAAACTGATTATTTCGGTAATTAGTTCAATTATTAATTATTGACGGATTTAGGCCAGTTTCTATAAAACTTGATAGAATAGAAAAGTTTTAGACAATGCACATATATCTAATCGACAAAACATGATGAATACATAAGTATAAACTTCGGATGAAATGAAAGCAATGCAGCAGACATGCGTAGTGGAAGGGATGTTTATTACTCTAACACCAACTTTTTTGGAAATAAAAGTTACTACTCGCGTCCTCTTCTGTTCTTTCATGCTAATAATTAATTTGATTGATATGCGGTGTTTAACATCCTGAAATCACCGTATATATGATTATGGGAGACGCCGTAGTGAAGGGCTCTAGAAATTTCGACCACCTGGTGTTCTTTAACGTGCCCCTTCATGTGAGCACATGGGCCTACAGCATTTTCGCCTCCATCGAAAGCAGCCGCCGCAGCAGGGATTCGATCCCGCGACCGGCGGGTCAGCAGCCGAGTACTTTAGCTACTAGACCACCACTGCGGGGCTTTTCGCGCTACTAAACAGCTACGGCAAGGAAGCTATGTGCTCAAAAACGTACGCAAATCAGGCCTTAACGAAAGTGTAGACCCAGCTGATATTAATAAATGTGGCGTCATGACGTAATGATTTTTTTTCGCGCAAATCAAACTGCAGGACAGCCGACTTTCTCGATTGCCGAGTAATTTACGGCGTTAGACCTAATGGATGAAGTAAACTCGTGAGCACTTACTGTTCAAGACGCTGGTGAGGCCAGCGCTCTGGAGCAGGCGGTAGAAGTAGCCGTACTTGGACTGGATGGTCTGCGCGAGCATGCTCTCGGCGATAGGATACAACACACGGTCCACGATGTGGACAATGATGTTCTCGTACGAGGCATCGCCCACCAGGATGTTGGCACCTCCGATGGAGATTGTCTGCGAGAAACATTTGCTCATTTTCACGACACTGCCACTCAGAACGAATTCACCAAGTGACGCAAACTCTTTTTTTTAAAGGAACAATAATTAGAGATTATTAGTCCGCAATGTAAAGCACATTTTTAAGGCACATTTGAGCATTACAAAAAAGTCGTGTTTTTTTTTAAATTTTCCATAACAAAAAAAATTATTTCGAAGGATGCCTTGCACAAACACTCCTTAGTCAAGTTCCGCTCACTGGAAAAAAATTTTTGCAGGCAAAGAAATAATGTATTGGCCTGTGCTATGAAATAAACTGAATGAGATATGACGAACAATAAAAAGTAATTAAATAACCAAAAAGTAAGCACTCGCATTAGGGACACCTTCGTATAATAAGCAGGCACACGGAATCCTGTGGCACGATTTTGCTTATTGAGGTTCACAGCACACCTTCTAGAGTGATGAGGAAGTGTGCAAAGTTTTCATGAAAAAGGATGATTAGCAAAAGTGTTACGACTGTTCACGTGCGGAAAAATACCAAAAATACAAGTTCCGAGAAAATCAACATTGAGATTTCAAACAGGTGTAGCGCGTACACAATATGATCAGGAGGACTGAAACTCTCAATATTTGTTGCTGCAGTTTCACTGAGTACTTTACTTTTGTGTGCCTTTTCTCGAGCGGCAATTATTTTTTTTTCAAGCTGATTTTGCAGCTTCAGTGAAACGACGGGGCGCTTTCGCGCTGCGGTGCTGATCATTTGTAAAGTTTTCAGGTTAGCGGCCAGGCTCAATCCAAATTTGCTGAACGTTATCAATCGTGCTTCTATTTCCAATATTTATATGCCACATATTGTCAAAAAAGCAAATTTGATGCTTCACATTCGTGTCCTTGAGCGTGAACAAAACAAGTACCGCTTTACGCGTTCACCCAGTGAAAAGATTATGGCTCTTATAATGAAAAATAATAAGTTGACGATGCCTCTAAAGTATTACGACAAATTTTCGATTGACATAATTGCTAAAGAGCTTATACAAAGTACTACATCTCAAGTAAATTTTGTGGTTCATAGAAAAATCGCACTTTCAGTTTCGGTTTCGTAGGAGGAGATGGTCTAACATTTTTTCTCGTAAGTTTTGAAGGACATGGCGTAGACGGAAGATTTATACAGCAAAATGACAATCAATACAATGGACACTTTACATATTAAAAAAGCTATATTTTGAGAAAAAAGTCCTTTCTTTCACTTGGCTTCATTTACCTTAAAGGGATACTGAACAATATTTATTTTTGCCGCCAAAATTTTCAACCCAATCGATAGATTTTATCCTGAAATCGACATAGACAACCTTCATTTCAGTCAGAAACTACGGGAAAATGAGGAATTCACTGCGTTTTTCACAAACCTTTATGTCTAGCGTCCGCGCCATTAACTACAGGAGGAGGCGTTTGGTGACGTCACAAACACCCGAAACAGGCATGCCAACAATGCCAGCCATGACCCACGCCTTTCGGCTCGCTCATATCCCACTTAGATTCCACTAATTGGTATGAACAGCAACAGAAGTGAACAATGCTCGCGGCTAGGGCAAAACACTGGCTCTGTTGCGGAAGGGAAAGATGGGGTTAGGAGGAGAGGTGGAAAAAATGAAGAGGAGGACAAGAAGACGTGCATCCTGCGTGCTCCTCGGCAATGCCACCTAGATAACTTTAGGCCTGCCTCATTGTTTCTATCACGGGCTCTGACGTCACTCCGTTTAGACCGGTGTGCTTCACTGCACAGTCATGCCTACGCTTGCTGTGGTCGCTCAACAGAGATGAATTGCCCAGTGAGACGAACGTTTTCATGGCGTGTAAGTGTGCTTCTCGGCGATTTGGGAACACCGCGTTTTTCCGTGTCCGTGAACTGTGGCTTAGTGCAGCGGTTTTGTGCAGAGTATTTTCTTGCCGGTGATCCTACCACTTTATTGCGGTGTTATAATTTTGAGCCAGTCTACATAGTGAGCCCCTTAGCATAATGTGTTTCCTTGAAACACATTCTCTCACAGAACGCTTGTGCCCGTGTCTCAGTGTTTTCAATTTGTTTTCCTCGAAATCCTGGGAGCTGCCGCTCCCTCCTTTGCGGTGATGCTTCAGGACACACCTGAGAATGTTGCAGGCGTGCAACCGTCGCGCCGGACTTCGTCATCCAGGAAGCGTAGCAACGCGTCCAGCGACACCGACAGTGAGGCAACCGATTTGTATTCGGATGGCCTCTAGTCATCGGATGATGACTTCACGGTCGTCATGAATCGATCTACAAAACGAAGACTGCTGCGAACGGCATCGTCGGCAAGTGTTTCCACCGTTAAGACTGCACCACAGCGGTGGCCGCACACCATGCTGTTTATGCCTGAAGACCCTGCATCTAACTTGCGACTCCTCAACAGGCAAGTTCTTTCTGTGCTTCTCGAGGAAACCGCGCCGAATGAGATCAAAGACGTGAGGATCAATGCACGAAAGAATGTCCTTGCTGTAGACGTTATGCACCGTAGCGCACTGCAAAGCCTTCGGCACATAACAGAAATCGGCAACGTGAAAGTTCGGCCAATGGTCGCTACAGGTTGTAATGGCACTGTTGGCGTCATTTATGATGTGGATCTTTCCATCTCAGCTAATGACCTGCCAATACTAATAAAGCCAGCGACTGAAGGCACCCGCATTACGCACATTACCAGACTCGGCAACTCACGCTGCTTGAGGCTTGTGTTCGAGGGAGACAGCCTTCCCTCGTATGTCAAAGTTGGCCATGTTCGCCACTCAGTGCGTCCTTACATACCGAAGCCACTGCAATGCTACAAGTGCTTCAAGATGGGACACGTAAAAGGTGTCTGTGAGAACAAACTTGTGTGTCCGCGGTGCGCTGAGTCTCACTCAAAAGACGCCTGCAGTGCCACCATACTACGATGTCCAAACTGCCACGGCGCTCATGAGGCCTCATCCAAAGATTGCCCGCGGGTGCGAAACGAGCACGCGGTACTCAGGCGTATGGTGCGTGACAATTCAACACACAAGGAAGCTGCCGCTACACTACGCCGACGACGGCGTCGTGGGCGAAGACTATCACGGAAAAACGCCTCTACCGATAGAGAGATATCATCCTCTATCAAAGAGGCTGACTCACGAACACCGAGCTCACTGAAGACGGATACTGCCAAACAGAAGAAAGGGACAGCAGTCGCGCCTTCCGAACAGTGGCCCTCTCTTCCACGACGTCAACCTACTTCGGAGCTGCATCAAATCCCGCCGCCCTCGACGACCCCTCAAACCAGTGATGCGATGAATGAAGATCAAGTGATAAGCTTGCTGCAATCGCTGATGAGTACCATGCGTGTTCTACTGAGTAATATGAAGACTTCTGCTGCGCAGACCGCACTGCATGTGCTGGACACCCTGAGTCCGGTGCTTGCAGCTCTAAGGTAGAACCATGGCCAGCGAGGCACCGTCGTTTCGAGCGGAAGTCAAGAATGCATCTGTCTTTCAGTGGAACGCCAGAGGACTGAAGTCGCGCATGTCTGACTTTAGACAATTTGTATTTGTGAACCGCTTCCCCATTATTGTGATTTGTGAACCCAACCTATGTGCTTCAATCAAGCTGTCAGGATATGAGTGCTTTATGTCCTCCACTCACAGAGACTGCAGCAAAGTTATTGTATTCATGCGCCATGACCTCACTTACGTTCACCACAGAGTCTCGCCTGATGAAGGGAATCAGTATGTGTGCCTTACTGTGAAGAAGGATAAGGTTGCTTTCACGATTATCGGAGCTTACTTATCTCCATCAAGCCGCCTTGACTGCGAGCGCTTACGCGGTATTCTGACATCGACTCCAAGGCCATGGGTGATCACTGGCGACTTCAATGCCCACCATTTCCTATGGGGAAGCTCCAGGGACAACTCTAGAGGAAGAAAATTGGTGTCCTTAGCCTCGGAGTACGAACTCTGCGTTTGTAACGATGGAAGCCCTACATATTTACGCGGATCAGCCTATAGCAGCTGCCTGGACCTTACATTGGTTTCTCGCTCACTTATCAGGAAAGTGCACTGGTTTTCGGATCTGGAAACGCGGGGCAGCGACCATATACCAACTTACCTGTGTATAGAAGGTTTCACCAGCTCCAAGTCCTCAAGAGGCCTCAAGTACACCGATTGGCCGAAATTCAAAATGTTAATGGAAGACTGCTGTACCGACGGCTCATCATATAACCTAGAGGACTCGATAAAGGATGTCCTGCAGAATACCACACATACACATTTGACTAGTCACAAGCGCACCGGTTTCGACATCGAGCTTGAGAAACTTCGCGCAATACGCCGTCGTGCAGAACGAAGGTACCGACGGACAAAGTGCATGGATGATTTGAGGCTGGCTAGACGCATTCAAAAGAAAATGCAGCGGCACATGGATAAACTGGCTAGGCGACGTTGGACATCCTTTTGCGAGTCGTTGGATCCACGAAAGCCCCTATCACTGATATGGCGAACTGTCCGGGGTCTTAGCATAACCTTGGGTCAGCGACACCCGTTTACATCTCTGGCACTTCACCTTCGATGCAGAGAGATTGACGTCGCAGAATCTTTCTGTAGAAGAATTGCCGGTGATTCCAATTTCACAGTATCAAGAACGGGAACTTTTGACAACCCACCGCCCTCACGTGATCCCCGTATGGAATGCCAGTTTTCTATGGATGAGCTAGAGGCGGCACTGGCTCTGTGCAGACGTTCTTCAGCACCCGGTCCTGACGGCATTACCTATCGTGCCCTTTGTAATCTTGGAGACGAAGCTCGGAAGGCACTCTTACGCCTATACAACGACTCCTGGCAGACTGGTACTGTTCCCCAGGCATGGAAGTCAAGTCGCCTCATTCCACTTCTAAAGGCTGGTAAATCTCCTTTGGATATTGCCTCATACCGTCCTATCGCACTTGCCAGTTGTGTGGGAAAAACGATGGAACGAATGATTCTAACACGAATGGAGTGGTATTTAGAGCACTACGAAATCTATCCAGTATCCATGACCGGATTCAGGCGCGGCCATTCGTCAATCGACAACGTTGTTGATCTGGTGACATATGTTCAACACCAGAAAGCCTGTAAGAGACTGTGCGCCGCCCTGTTTCTAGACGTTAAGGGGGCTTACGACAATGTCACCCATGAAGCCATCCTTAGTGCTTTGGAAACAGTAGGTCTTGGTGGCAAGATATATGTGGGTGTACAGCTACTTACAGCTGAGATCATTTTACGTGATGACAGCGAATGGCCCAACACCTGATTATTACAGCAGCCGAGGAGTTCCTCAGGGAGGAGTGCTAAGCCCTACCCTTTTCAACCTAACTCTCATTGGTCTAGTCGAGCAGCTACCTAGCACTGTAGAACTTTCTGTCTATGCTGATGACATCTGCATTTGGACATCAGGTGTGACAAGGCCTCAGCTTCGCGCCCGCCTTCAGAAGGCTGCTACAACGGCGTCATGCTATCTTCGTAAACAAGGCCTCGAGGTGTCCTGCGGAAAGTGTGCAGTGGTAGCGTTCACGCGGAAACCAATGTCTGCTTACAGTATATCGATTAATGAAGAATACATATCGTTCAGCAGAAGCCACAGGTTCTTGGGAGTCATAATAGATAGAAACCTGTCGTGGACTCCGCACGTGAACTATGTGAAGAAGCGGCTGATCGCAACATGCCACATGCTCAAATTCCTTGCAGGAAAAAATTGGGGAGTGCCCATATCATCCATGCTACAACTGTACAGGGTGCTGTTTATCGGATTCTTACGGTACAGCTTACCTGCAATGTCTAACACCGGCAAGACCAACCTGCGCGCAATTCAGAGCATTCAAGCCCAAGCACTTAAGATATGCCTTGGAATACCCCGCAGTGCTTCAACGGCTGAAACCATTGCCATCGCTCAAGATCACTCGATAAATACGTATATTATTACCGAGACAATGCGCATGCACCTCAGGCATTATGCCAGGACCCCTTCTCACCACCTGGCGAGTCTAGCTGCTGAAAGGCCTCGCACGACATACGGCACTATTGTCTCCAAGCATCGTTCATCGTTTGCTGAGACATACGCACCTGCATCAAAGCCACTGCTTCCTCCTTGGAGCTTGAGCCGGCCGCGAGTTCACTTAATGATTCCAGGAATGAGGAGAAAATCGGACTTACCGACGCATGCCCTGAAACAACTGAGTCTATCCCTACTGGAAGAAAACTACAGTAACCACGTGCACATTTACACGGATGGCTCTACTACGCCGTCTAGTTCAGGTGGAGCAGTGGTTATACCATCACAAGGGATAACTCGGTGTTTTAAGACTTCACATGTGACGAGTTCGACGACGGCAGAACTCGAGGCTCTGCGCAATGCACTGGAACACATCAATTCAGAAGAAAGACCAGGTAAATGGGCTGTGTTTTCTGACTCAAAACCAGCGTTACAGTGCCTGATATCAGTTCTCCGACGCGGATGCCACGACCAGTTGACCTACCAAACCGTGAAACTACACCACCTGTTAATACAAAAAGGCCATGACATCGTCTTTCAGTGGTTACCTGGGCATAGTGGTATAGGCGGCAATGATTCTGCAGATCATGCTGCTCGCACGTCACATAAAGAAGGGAACAGTGTTCCGATACCGCTTTCAAGAGCGGATGCGGCGAGGCAGATTCGTCAACTGGCCCGCAGTCTCACACTGACCGAGTGGAACACACCAAGCATACGACGTACACGACTGCACGAGCTCGACCCATCACTACAACTCCGGCCTCCACCCGGCCTACATCGACGTGAAGCTTCGCTTCTCTATCGCCTTTGGCTGGGAGTTGCTTTCACGAAAGCATATACCACGTTAATCAGAATTACTGACAGTGCGGCGTGCGATGTTTGCGGCACCGACGAAAATATCGAACACCTGCTGTGTCATTGTCCTCGATTTGCCTCAGAGAGACAAGTACTTGCCAACGCAATGCGGCGACTGGATGATCGGCCTCTTTCTGTGCAGGTGCTATTACAGCAACGTACACATGTCTCGACAGCCCACAAGGCAGTGAAAGCCCTGCTGCGTTTCCTGAGAAAGACAGGCTTGTGTGAACGCCTCTGACATGCGGTAGATTTCTACACGCTGCAGTGAAATTACTGTCAGTCTCTCCCCCACCCCCTTTTTTCCCTCTCTTCCCTCTTTCTCGTCTTTCTTGTCCCCTTCCTTTATCCCCCAGTGTAGGGTAGCCAACCGGATGTCTTTCTGGTTAACCTCCCTGCCTTCTCCCTTTTTGTTGCTTCCTCCTTCCTTCCTTGAAACATAGATGCTTGTAGACACTGTAAGGCGCTTTCTTGAATGGTTTTCAAGTGTATGAGCTCTACTTCAAGCTATAATATTTGAGAACCTCTACCAAATTTATTGATCCAAGAACCGGCAGTGCAGTTGAAGTGCTATCAGTTATTGTCACGTCAGAGCGTTTTTAAATGTTTACGCGAAGAATAGAAAAAAACAATTTGCTTCTGTCCTTCAATCAATCAATCTGGAGCTTTATTTTCCGACATAGCATGAATTTTCGTTTGCGTGTCTGTTACTGCATTAGTATTCAATGATCCCGTCCGTCCATAATGGTTGCCATGAGCATGTTAGAAGGGTTATAGTCCTCTTCACTATCTGGCGGGAAAGAAAGCGGCGGCGACATTGCCCAACGCTTCTATGAGAAATACGTTCCGAGAGCGTTTCTTGTACTTGAAGCCAAGCTGCGTCGTCTTCCCCTCCATCAAAAATGCAGCACACTGATTCGATCTTGCAACTTGCGTGTCAGCAGCTGAGTACCTTAGCCACTATACCACATCATCGGGGACACTGTTTAAGTTGACAATGTCGTTAATAAATAGATTAAACACAAGCGATCCAAGAATATTGCTTTGGGGCTCACCGAATACAACAGTTAATTATCATGACTTGTGATTGTTGATACAGAACCATCGATTCCTTCCTTTAAGGCACGACTTTCGGTCTTCCATGAAATCCACGATGGGAAAGTTTCTGAGTGTTCGAAGCTTAGTAATACGTACATGCGTATTCCTTCAGTGCTAGTGGTGCCATTTCTGTGGACCTTTGTTTTCGAATACCATGAGGACCGGTGTGAACATATGCTCTCTGAAATAATATAATTAACTTTATCGAGGTGGACGGCACTGTCGTGCTGTTGCACTTACCCTTCCGTTGTCGTAGACCTTGACGAGAATGTTGTCACCGCCCGCCGTGGTGATCTCAAGGTCGCCGCGAAGACTGCGGCTCGGGACCGAGTCACCCACGATGTGGTGCAGCACAAACTTCCTCAGAAATCGGCTGTCCGTGTCCAGAACTTTGACAACGCTGGGTGGCAGCGCCGCAAATGCCAGGTCGTTTGGTGCGATGATGGTGAACGATGCTGCGAGAGCACAACTCTTCAACTCTCTCGGCCTACGCCAATTATACTCAGGCAAACTCGTTCCATTAACACCTCTTCCCCATCTTTCTACTCCACGTGACAAGTGACAGTTAGCAAAGTCGGTTATTAGGCTAGCTGGTTTTGCATGATACGGCGCTACATGTTACTCGGACAAGAGAAGTTAGAGAGTACACTCAGCTCATTGAAGCAATTTCGTTTGGACTCCTTGCAGTGATAAACCAGAGCAACCTCGACAACAGGAGTTCATTGCTAGCATGCGTAGCAGTGATGATGACGACGCAACTACTCACCAAAGGACGCCAGGACATCCTCGACTTGCGCTTTGCGCAGGTACTTGCAGAAGACAGTGGAATCCCGCTGCTGAAGGAACTCGTAGAGTCCGCGAAATGGTCCTGCCGCCCGTGTCTCACGGACCAGGACATCGCTGGCTGCGCAGCACAGAAAGAGGGCGAAAGCCAAGGTGCATTTTATTCCTTGCACTGAGAAAATCACATCTGCGTGCTCCTTGCTAGGCGAATAATGTATGAAACGCTACGCCAGTTCATAATATGTTGATGCATGACAACTGCACTTCGACCCTTCTGAGAGCCGGACTAGTTTTTGCTAGTGCCAGTGAGCGCCTCTTTAGTTGTCGTTTTCTAATGCATTTGTAGTGCACATCAGTTCTCAATAGGGCAGTGTGCACTGCCATGCCAAAAATATGAAAATAGTGCTTTAAATAAGCCTAATTAGTGGCACTAAATTACTAAAATTTTCTTCGAAACACTGTGCAGTAATAGCAGAAAAGATTTCATTACTTTTAGTGGAAAGAGTGAAGGCGAAGCTTTCTTTTGAATCATCTTTTTTAAGGCGTAAAGCCTGGCTAGCGGGAACTTAGAGTAACACATATTACAGTGCGATACTTGCAGTCCTCTCCTTTTTTTTTCCCTTCTACATTCCTAACTTCTCGAGCTTGAATGTTCGGGTTTGTTTTCCATAGCCTACCATCATTGCGTGTGAGGTAACCAGCTTCTACTAAAAGTTTTAATCTGCCAGCACTCCGTATATGTGTAATTGTCCGGACCAAACAAATGGCTCCACGCGGAGCTCTCTGGCGTGAGATTCGGCAGGGGGTGCAGCGATGTTGTCAATACGGCGTGAACTGCGAGGCAGCTGGGTCACTGCCGCCTAGAGCACTTCCCGGGCCCGGGCTTTCAAATCATAAAGTACGAGGCGTCTAGCACTTTGTTCTATCATGAGGCTACACAACACTTGAAAAAACTCCCCCCATTATATTGACTGAAAAACGCTCCTGCGTACCGCGAAGAAAGGTTTGCTAGGCAGCGCTGCTGCAAGAGCAACGCTACTTTGCCTACGTTACAAGATGTGCGTGTTTGTATCTAGAAAAACATTTCGAGTATACAGCTACACTCGCCGTGCCTGTTTTAGCCTGCGTAGACTGGTCAACGCGACTCGCGAATAATAATATCTCTGGAGAAGTTTCTTGTGCAGTTCAAGTGAAAGATGCGTACTGACTCTTAGCATTGGCGCGACAATCGATACAAATGCTGCCAATTTTTTTTTGCGGTAACCAGTTGGATATATTTACCATTAGCCAATAATATTTACATTTTGCTCGAATTTCTAGTATATAGAGCATAGTTCGCTCATTTTAACAGCCATGTTCGTCTTTGTCATATCTCGCCATTAGTTCATAAGTGTCTTCATTTGTCGAAGCACAACTGTTCTCATGGCGCTCAAAAACGTGGAAGCACTCCCGCTCCGGGAGTAAAAGCGCTAATGAAGGTGACGACTATGATTTGCTGCTGTACACGTTGTAACACTGTACTGTCACGGGTGTATTGGTCCCTTTCGCCACATATATGTCTAACGGTTCCGGCGTCACCCCGAGTTAAGGAATTTCTCATACCTTCGGACTTCTTCCACTACTATTTGCTGATTTTGGATGCCAACAAACAAGTAACACACATCAAAACTGGAGACGCGAGTCTCCACTCTTGTTGAAAAAAATAACGTAGACATGTTCCGCGCACATCGCTTATCTCTCCTTGGTGTCTGCCGAGGACCGACCTTCTTGCGCCGCATAGTTTCGCAAGCTGCCTAATTGCTTCATTAGGGACTTGAGGGGGCCACGTGTTCGTTAAAGCTTACAAGTATGCCTGTCGCTTGCCTTGTTGAAGTGTCTCTGGCGGGCATTTCTGTATGCTTTCCACATTTTCTTTCCTACCACAGTTTTCCGCCACTGCCGCGAGCTGGAAGCCTGCAACCACAACCAATATACACAGACTTCGCTGCCCTGTTCGCACCGAGGCCTAACCCATTCTACCCCTTCCGGTCCCTGTGAGGGATCGCGCATCGGACACCCAGCACGCCGCGTTCAATGGCGAGGGCTGAAGAAGCCGCCAGCTGCTTCGGCGCTCTAGCTGACCGTTGTTTTGCAAGCCCTCAGTCCGGTCTTGCTTTAAGACAAACACTTTCAGGGCTCGAAGGCTGTTACACGAAGACGACGAGATGGGCATCTTCAGCAAACGGCAATGACGGTCACTCGCTTTGACAGATCTGTGGCACTGTTTTTTTTTTTTTTTCGTGTGCACGATTTCTCGCTTTCGACCTGTCGCGTCCTCTTTTCTGCACGCCATGATATAATTTAGCAGGTCGGGTTGTTGAGAGCGAGGACACGGGTTCGATTCCCGGCTTCAACGCCCACGTCTTGGTGGAAGAAAACGCGAAAAACACCCGTGTGCTTCTATTCAGGGCACATTAAAAGGGGTTAATAATAATAATAATAATAATAATAATAATAATAATAATAATAATAATAATAATAATAATAATAATAATAATAATAATAATAATAATAATAATAATAATAATAATAATAATAATAATAATAATAATAATAATAATAATAATAATAATAATAATAATAACCTGGGTTTAACATCCGATAACCACCATATGATTATGAGAGACGCCGTTGTGGAGGGCGTCGGAAATTTCGACCACCTGGAGTTTTTTAACGTGCACCGACAGCACACGGGCCTCTACCGTCTCACCTCCATCGAAATGCGACCGCGGGGATCGAACCCGCGACTTTCGAGATAGCAGCCGAGCCGCCGAGGCGGGCCGCGATTCGGCTAGAGTTCCTCACCGCGGAGTGCCTCATAATCCTATCTCGATTATGACTCCAGTAATTATTGTGGGTCCGCCACAGTTCATGTGCTTTGAAAGCATCACTGCATGTAAAGATTGTGGTTGAAAACATTAAGCATCATAGCCTTTCTATGTATATGCGGATAACGGAAAAAGAACCAGCGTCGTTTGCCAAGAAGACGTTGCTCATGAGGCGCTTTCCTACGTAAATCGAGGTTAAGTTTTTTTTTTTTGTCTACGGACGTTACTGACGTGGAGAAAACTTGCAGCGACTGGCATGATGTGGATGATTAGACACTGCCAAACTTTCACGTCACGTTCCCAGAGGCCGAGAAGATGACCCTCACGCGACGACTTTTAAAGGAAGAGAAAGAAAACTGCATATATCGGAAAGTCCGGTCCGACAAGAGTCCCCCCCAATGAAATCCAAGTATGTGCAGATTGGAATCACACGAGAGGAGGAAGGCAAGCTTTCGGTAGCGCGCTCAAGTCCGGAAGAGCGGGATTAGCGAGCTGACCTTTGCGAGAGAGGCGCGCATCAAAAGAAATATGGTTTCTCTCCGACCACTGAGTAGCGTCCGCTGGCGCGCTCCTCAATGTCGCCGCCGGCAGCGGCCTTGATGGGCGAAGGAAGCGGGAAAGCGGTATGACCAGTCAACGGGCTCAAAAGTAACGGGCTTTTCTTTCGCATGCTCCGACATGATCGGCCGGCACTGGACACGATCCCACTGGACTACCAATGAGGATGAGCCGCAGTGCGTGCTCTATTAGCGCGGCTCCTCAATACTTTTTATTTATTTCTTTCGAGTCTACAGTTTTCGAATGGACTTAATCACCGTGTTCCAATTCACCGAGTCAAGGACGCCTTCTGTCGATCCGCAGTGAGGAGCACGTAGCCGATCACTGCGCTCATCGATATGGATACGCCGTTTCATATCGGCCCGTCGTTGCGAGGAGACTGCACAGTTCCGAGCCACGTTCGCGACACCATCTGTGAATTCTCGTAGAAAAAGTGCCTCGTAATTTTGGAACGAGACGAAACAGCATTATTGCTTCACCACGTTCATTACTGTGTTCTTCTCAGGATTCCTCCACTTTAAACTTGGCACTAAAAAAATGCCTTAAATTTTCAATATTGCATGTAACCATTAAAGTCTTCTCGATGTATGAACGTCATTACCTATTTCGAATGCGCGCAGAATACTCAAGACACTGCAAACAACGGCATAGCGAAAGAAAATTTTAGTCGATGAACGGAAGACCTCTTGTGATTTGCCTCAACGTATGATAGCATCAGTAAATTGGGATTAGCTTGGCGCCTCAAGCTCGCGCATTGGCCTCGTAGGCGTAGCAGTTCTTGGGTAGAATCTAAGCGCTTAAAGACAAACTGCCAACGTCACGTTTCAACCGCCACGACCGAACAAACGACCAAACGAAGTCAAGAGATGCAGAACCAAGAGACGAATTGTATTAGCAGCGCGACAATGCTAAAAAGAGACAACATGGACAGGAAAGAGCGCTCTTTCCTTTCTCTTCTTATTGATATAACTACGATGAACCAACTCGCCCGAATCAAACTCTTGTTGCTGGAGACGAGCTTAATTGCTAGGGCCAGGAAAAAACCTTTTTAAATTAGCAATATTTCGCTCGTTCAGGCGTGATCAGAAAAGATGTGGCACCGAAACGACGCGCAAATTCCTTAACCTTCGAGGTGTGTACGTGATCGTTTAGAAAAGTCAGTTTCGGCGCAAGTACGAAGCAATGAATGCGATAGCAGCACACGTGATACGATGTGAGCATACAACTCACTCCTGAAGCATGCAACCTGGCGTTACTTCACAAAACGCTGTTGCACGCAAACATGCCGCTTCAACGACCGAAGCGATCTTCGTGCCGCCTATGACTCGAACGCAAACGTTGCGACGACAGCATAGTTCTTTCAAGGTTTGAGCAACCTGCAAATCCTGATACAGCGAGCGTGACCACGTCTGGCCGGTCGGGGTATGCGGCTGTTGCCGGATCCTCTCCGTGATCGGCGCCACGTGAAGCGTCTGTGCGTTTTCGCTCAGCTTGAGCGTCGATCATCTGTAGTATGCTTTCACTCGCACGCACGAAAAGAGGGGCTATGTTATGCGTGAACGGCGACGGCAGAAGGTGCACCTGGAGTGTCTCTGCACTAAAACAGAACATTGGTGGATGACATCGCTGCCGACAAGGCGACGTCGATGCGATAGAGTCGCATAGTCACGTTACCCGAAACTGATGCAGAACATGC